CTCTCTCTCTCTCTCTCTCTCTCTCTTGATCTTTCTCTCTCTCTCTCTCTCCCTCTCTCTTTATTTCTCACTCTTGATCTTGGTCTTTAGTCTTTACACCTCGCTTGCTTTTGCCGTTAAATTAAATACAGTTAACAACTACACTATTCATACCCCTTGTAAAAAAAAAAATTTGTAATTTATTTTTTTTGTAACTCAAAATTGAAATATGTACTGGTTGAATGAGGGCCTTTGTTGAATACTTTAAATGTAGTGTAATCTTTAATACATGTATGTCACATTCTCAACAAACATGAATCAGGCCAAATCAATTTATCACATACTTAAACTATTGCAAAACTTGGTAGGGGTACATGTACAGTGTATGTAGCTAGCTGTGAAGCTAAAGCTGCTGCAGCTGAAGCTCTGTCAAGGGCTAAACGGTTCTACTACAATGACCTGTTTTCTGAAAGTACTCCAAAGGACATGTATAGAGAACTGAAGCATCTTCTGAATAAGAGTAAACGATTTCTCCCAGATGCTGATTCATCAGTTGAGCTTGCCTCTACATTCTGCACATTCTTCAGTGAGAAGATCAGAGACTTGCGGAGATGTATAGATGACTTAAACGTTGACGAATTGGACAATCCAAATGGTATGGCAATCTCAGCCCCTTCATTCGTGGAGTTCCAGTTGGTCACATCTGAGGAGGTTCAGAGGCTGATCAAACGCTCACCCAACAAGACATGTCCTTTGGATCCTCTTCCAACGTGGCTCCTGAAGCGTCACCTTCCTGTTTTGCTGCCAAAGCTGACGCATATCATCAACGCATCGTTGGCATCAGGCGATTTTCCATCATCTCTAGGTGTTGCATCTGTGACACCAGTCTTGAAGAAGCCAGGACTTGACAAAGAAAGAATGAAAAACTACAGACCCATTTCGAACATAAGGTTTGTAGCCAAGCTTATGGAAAGAGTCGTCTCATCACAGTTAGCCAACTACTTGGAAGACAACAGCCTTGGTGATCCTAAACAGTCTGCATATAGGAAAAATCACAGTACTGAGACTGCATTGGTGAGTCTTCAGAATGATATCTTATGTGCTCTGGATGATCGGAAATGCGTCATTCTACTGTCGCTAGATATGTCATCTGCATTTGACACTCTTGACCACACGATCTTGCTGACAAGGCTTCGGGATGAATATGGTGTCTCTGGCACAGCACTGCACTGGTTTAGATCATACCTGAGCAACCGACTATCACATGTGCGAATCAGAGGAGTGAAATCACTAGACACCAGGTTGGAGTTCGGTGTCCCGCAAGGATCGGTGATGGGCCCGCTGCTCTTTACGCTCTACTCGAAACCTGTATCTGATATCCTTTACAGTCATGGCATAGGCTATCATGTATACGCCGACGATATACAGGTGTATATACAATGCGACCCTTCTAGCCAGGACTCTGTTGATCATGCTGCATGCAGACTACGGGATGCAATGAGAGATGTCTACAGGTGGATGACATCCAACAAATTGAAACTTAATCAAGACAAAACTGAGTTAGTAGTCTTTGCTTCGAAAGTCCATCAACGATTGCTCCAGAACTTCACTCTAACTCTTCATGATGGGACTGTGATTAAACCGTCAAAGAAGCTGCGTATTCTTGGCGTCGTCTTTGACAACCTCATGCTGCCAGATGTTCACGTCTCAAATGTAGTCAGGACTGTCAAATATCATATCCGGAACTTATGCAGGATTAGAAAATATCTTGACGAAAGTACCACTCATGCTGCAGTCCGTGCCTTAGTTTTATCTCGTCTTGATTACTGTAACAGTTTGTTGAGTGGCACAACAGCAAAGAACATTCACCGTCTTCAGCTTCTCCACAACCAGTCTGCACGCCTCATCTTCAAACAACCAAAGAGCACACACACCACGCCCTTGTTGAACTCTCTGCATTGGCTTCCTATTCAACAGCGAGTGCTCTTCAAGACCTCCACCCTTGTCTTTAAGTCGTTACACTATCTCTCTCCCTCATATCTTACTGATCTCGTTCATGTTAGGCACTCCAGTTACAACCTAAGATCCAACACTCGTACAGTTTTAGATACCCCAAGGTGTCGAACCAATGCTGGTAAGCGGGCATTCATAGCCACTGCTCCAAAATCATGGAACAATCTCCCCAATTTTGTACAAACTGCTGATTCTCTAATGACTTTCAAAAAACACCTCAAAACACACTTGTTTAACTAATGCCCGCTTACCAGCACTTGTTCTTGCTCTTCTATTACCTGTCTTACCCTTTATTTTGTTCATTCCTATATTGTTACATACATGTCTGTTGTTAAGCATCTTTCTATTTTGTTAATTGTTCATTGTATATGTTAATTAAGCGCGTTGTATCTACTTGTAGAAAAGGCGCTATACAAATGTTCATTATTATTAATAGTCTTGAGTCAAATACATGATTTGAAGAGACTCATTCTCTACCCTCAAAATGAAAAAAAGGAAAATATTGAGTAGGAAAATAATGAGTAAGAAAATAATCTATAGAACTGCAACTCAAAAATACACATACAAGTAAAACAAATAAAAAATTTAAAAATTATTACAATTTCAAAGGTAAATTAGGTCATTAAAATGGCACTATTTTCACACCACCTACTAAAAGAACAAGAAAATGAATTTACCTTTGGTCTACATTATTGTTTCTTACTATAAGTATGACATACATGCTATAAAAATTAATACAAGAACCCACTTTTAAAGGCATCGTTTAACAATGTTAAATCTGAGATGCATATGGCCCTACAGTGTCTCTGATATGGTGTCATATTGAAGCCCTAAAAATTGCGCTTCAAAAGAGTAAAAATCTTTGGGTAACTGGTTTAATAACCAGGTACTCATTTTCCCCAATAGACTGTAGTGTTTTAAAATTTCGATTTCCAATCATAAATATCTTCATAATCAGACAAGCGATCGGCTAGTAAAAGTCATGGGGTTCCTGAGTGACCTAAAGGTTTATTAATTATCATTGCAGCATGAGCTAAATCCAGGATTTTTGTTTCAGAATCTGATACAAAGATACCCAATCCCTTTAAAGTGACTCAGTAACATTGTTGAAGGTTGATGAAAAAAATTGCTTAATTTTTGTATAAAATGTTACTTACTTTATTCCTTCTACTATACTAACCCTCTGACATGCAAAAAATCCTGAACAAATTCTCAAACCACAAAGATATCTATGGTTTTCTTTGAAGGCGTCGATGTGAGGCACCCTCTAACAGGGATTAACAGTAAATTCTCCCAACCATTTTTGAATTTTCCCAACCGTTTTTCCATGAGAAAAATACATAAAACAGGCTATAAAAATCTGTCAACACTTAACTGTCTGGAATGGAATGTAGAGCCATTTTATTGCTTTGTGACGATTTACATTCACCTAAAATGTAATTAAATTGTCCTTGTCTTGATGCTGAACAGGCTTTGACAAGTAGCAGAATAGAAGTAGAATAATATAGTTGGGAGAATTAAGGAATCGATCAGATCAGTTTTTCCCAATTAGTACCATGAATAATGATCCGTTTTCACTCAAATTTTCAGATTATCTTTAATTGTACATCTAGCATTGAAGTCACTACCTTAGCACCACTATCTCTTATCTGAACAATGTTACAAAGTCCCTTTAATGTTATTGTTATTATTATTATAGTATTCTTTTCACAAATTTCCTTTAACTCCTTGTTGTGTTCAGTATTTCCTTCCATTCTTCAAAGAAAGAGTAATCCCCAGTCCAGACAACCAGAGGTCAGTGGAACACTATACAAGAATTGTATAGCTATAAGTTATGTCATTACAATTTTACTGTATAAAGTAGTCTGAACGTTGAATAAAGAAGTGCATAGTCAAATAATGTACATGGCAAAAACAAATGTTGAAGCATCTTTTCAAATAAAGGAGCAGGGTCCTGATTTAGTCTTAATGTTATTGGATGAAACTGAAAAACTGGGCAGGGTTTATCGTGAGTGCACTTTGATGATTGGTAGGCTGTTATGTCACCTGACCTTTTCAAATCTAATCAACGTTTCAATTATGTTGTTATGCATTCTGTACGCACCTTTTGCTATCCGACGATCCTTTATTATATGACGTTTCTTCAAACGATTTTACATGTACATGTACATGTATTTTAAACTTCTTCCAGTTTGAACAGGCTAATGATTTAAAACTTGATCAGCCTTCAACAAATCTGGGGGGTGTGTCACAAATATCCTTGAATAAGTTCAACTTAACTCTAAGTTGGACTATAAAATTATGGAGAGCCGTTTGCAGCCTTAAAAAAAACATATTCGAATGCGAAAATTCAAGTATTTTAGACTGTTATTAATACCACATCAAGAACATGAAATCTTCTTGATAATAGAAAATATGAATGATTTGAATCAACATTTTATGCCTCGGCTTTGAATAATTGTTAAGTCAAACTTAGAGATTAAAAGTTCAACTTAGGATCTTTGTGAAACACCCCCCAGGGATGATGGCAGGAAATCATTTGCCTTTCCTATAATCTCTAATGAGACACATATTGAATGATCCATAAATCTCACCAAGAAAACTCAATATGTCTTAGGAAACACGTATTACACTTTGAGACAGGATATTGCTGCCTAACTTCCTTTTTCGATGATCTCTCAGAATGTTATCAAAGTAATAAAATAGTCTTAACAAGTTAATGTCAAACTCATTTAAACATAATTTTGTACTTCAGACAAATTATTCTGATCATCTGCATGTAAATAATCTCCCCTATAATGTCAATGTATAGAATTGGCTTTCCTTCTAATTTAGGGGGTTTAAATGTAGAGTATTTGGCTGATCTAAAGTTAATACTTCACTTATGATTCAAAGGTCATCAGATTATAATGCTCTCGATAAATGTAAACACATTTAATTACACTGTAGCATGTGCATATTTGCATAAAGTTCTAGCTGCAACCTTGAATAACTTAGATGCCATGAATACTATACACCACGCAGTACATGCATCTATTGAGCATGTTCTGGATGTGAACCACTGGTTTGTCATAGTTATGGAAGTGATGTCAATCGTCCGTCCGTCCGTCCGTCCCAGCGGTCTGTAAGAGCCAGGGGCATTCCTGGAATACCAGAAATGTCTAGTCAAACTAAGACCTAGATGTGAAGAATAGATCCTGCTCACTGGAGAATAAAGGGCAGCCTTTGTTGCATTGTACATTAATGTAGCATCAGCAAAACACAAAAGAAAAGGAGAACTTTCATTGGTTTGCAGCACTCAGGAGGCCTTCAGTCATACGAAACTACTTTTAATATATTAACTGGTGGTCTAGAAGACGGTTGGAATATTATGCTGCTCTTTTGAGAATGTGCAGGGCACCGGACAAAGCTGTCTCAGGCTGTGTTGAATAACAAGAACTGAAAGGACCACTAGTGTTATATAATATCGAATGCATCATATCATCCGGCATTACTATTTGAGGTGGTTTGATAGCTAAAGTCTGTCTGTCTTCAGTTTGTGAAATAATAGGCGACTAACATGACGCAGGAGTACCCAGCAGTCTTGGCGACATTCCTCCTCGTCTTCTTCACGACGGTCGGCTGCAATCTGATTCGGTCTCTGACCAAGAGAATCCTGCGCAACGATCCGGTCTGGTACAGCTATGCTGCGGAACTCATCTCCACGTTCCAACTGGTCGCAGGCGTCATAGAGGGCGACATCATATTGGAGGAGTACGGCCTCTACTGGTACGCTCTCTATCTCTGGATTCTCTTCGTGTCTGAGAGCCTTACGTTCGACGGCGACTCCACAGCCAACACCTGTATGATCTGGCAGTCCATGCTCAAAGGTGACTTTAGCCCTGGGGCGGCACTATCCAAGATATGCCTTCAGGTGGTCGGAGGGCAACTAGCATATCCCTACGTGCGCTTCATGTGGAAGGTGGTACCGACCAATCGTCATCAGAGGAAGGTCTCGCACCTGCTACAGGTCTACTGTGCTTCTGCATTGAACGTCTCTATCCTGGAAGGTGGCTTTGCAGAAGCTTTGGCCACCCTGACCTATTTCATGACCCTCAACTTTCAGCCAAAAGGAAAGTACAGTGGAATGTTTGCTGATGCCGCAATCCAGGTTTTGATCATCGTCACAGGTAAATGAATTTCGAAAGAAACAATGATACATCTTTCATGTACAGTTCGCAAATCACAATAATGATATTTGACATTTAGAAGTTGTAATCAAGTCCAGAAGTGTTTTGAGAATTGACTGTTTAGCCTCGGTCACAAATGCCATTACAAACTGCTACAAACGCAGTACAAACGATTTTCAGACAATGGAAAAACAGAGATTTGTACGAACGTTTGTGACCGTAGCTTTAATACATGTACATGTATCATAAGAAGAATAGTTTTACTTTCCCAAGTCAGAAGTTTTTTGAGAATGGACTCTTTAAAAGCCATCTGTACTAGTTGGCTAGGGGGGGGGATTAGACCACCCAGGGTGGTCACTGACAGGTGGCTATCTCATCAACTCAGCTCTCAATTTTACATAAGAAAAAGAGGATCATGGGGGACCAATGGTCACTGATTAGGCCATTACAAAAAATTTACATGTTAACCGTCCCCGCCCTATATCCTCCTATATTTTTTTATTTTGTTTTTGTTGGTGAAATTGTTTAAAAATAATTTTTAAACAAAATTTACATGTTAACCGTCCCCGCCCTATATCCTCCTTTATTTTTTGACTTTGTTTTTGTTGTTGAAATTGTTTAAAAATAATTTTTTTTTAAATTTTGATTATTTTTTTTAAACAAAAAAAACATGGGAAACACTGCTATAATGGATCTATTTCTGATTTTAAAAATTTAAAAAAAAATCTTGGCGGTCATCTTGAAAAATAGCCTGACTGTCAGGGAAATTGTACTGAGCAGCCATTTTGAAAAAAAGAAAAAAGGGCCTCCTTCCTATTTTTCACAAAAGCAGGACGCTAAACATGTTTTTTTTTAATTTGGCCTTAGGCATCGTTTTCAAATTTCTATATAGAGGGAGCAAAGTAGCTACAAGTAGTACAGTGGGGCTTTAATATCATAAGAAGAGTAATTTGCCCACGATCTTTCAATAGTTTTACTTTCCCTCTTGATTGTCAAGGTTTGGAGTGGACTGGGATGATGTTTAACCCTGCCCTGGCCGCAGGAATCACCTTGAACTGTGGTAACCAAAGCCTCTTGGAGCACCTCTTGGTCTACTGGGCTGCACCGCTGGCGACCGTCCCTCTCGCTAGGGCCATAGCAGGCGCCTTCAACAGGCCAACACCAGCGGTACCCCCTACCAAAGAGGACTAAGGGGGTACCGTCATTATTCAGGGTGCCATGGACTTAATTCAGGCACCACTACAAGGATAGGGGATTTCATCATTACTGTTTGGACTGCATTTCTGAGCTACATGTATACCCCTTTAGCTAGGGCCAATATAAGCCCCATTGAAGGGGCAGTACCATGCATGCACCATAGAGAAACGAGGTGGTATCTAAAGGTTTTTTTTTTTTTGGGGGGGGGGGGGGGCGTCGGTGAATCGTATCATCATCATGAAAGGATTGAACAAGGACTTGGTTTAAAAGGTCTTGAATACATTAGAAGCAAACTCTTCTGTAAATTCATCATTTCATTTTAATAGTTAAATGAAACGGGTCTGAATGAATCGTAAGCGCGAAATTGAACATGACACAGGGTTTAAAGCTAATCTTGAGCTCTAGTTTGGGAATAGCATTTTGAGAGAAAATTGCTATGATTCTGGATTGCAGTAGATTGGTTGTTTGAACCAGTGAAATAAAAACAACCACACAATGACTTTAAATACTGGGCATCATCTTAAAGATAGATAAAAAAACACTACTCCCATTCGTACATAGAGATCTGTGTTAAGCACATGGTGTCGGGTCTATCCGGATTTCCTTTAATATCTTTCTATGCTCATTACTCGGCCACTATACATTTTCTACCAAAATCATTTGGCATTATGTCATTTATATATGTAATCTTGAAAATTCAGTGTAAGTTTCGTTGGAATTCTGTGTGAATTTATTTTCTATATTTACCAGAACTCAAGTTTAACTTTAATTGCTAGACTGTACAGTGTAGATGGCACAAAATACGCCATGTGCTGTACTCATATTGGCATGGGCTAGGCTTTACTAAAGATACTAAGATAAACTTGGTACAGATATTTATTTGAAGTGGAAAATAACAGTCTATGCTTGTAAACTTATCATCTATATAGGTCAATTTCAAATGGGATTAATAGCAATATTAATTATTAAAAGAATTACAGTATTACTGTAGCTTATTGTTTATTTACTGATAAAGGTACAGGTTGATGTATGTCCATTGACAAAAATTAATCTGCTATCATAATGTACTGTACATATAGCATCAACTTGGGCAGTGGTTGTAAAAGAACTGGAGGCGCTAATTCTAATAAATAAAATAAATGATATTTCAGAACAGAGCTGATATGGTGTGTGTCTTCGTGTATTTACGGGTAAACAATATATTGAAAAAAAATGGAAGTGATGAGTGTCCATTTCCAGAAAAATATAAATCACCCTCTGATTTTGAGACAATAAAAGATACATACACTGTTTATGTACATGTAGCCCTTGCATGCAAGTTTATCTGAGACTTTAAGACACAACACTACACTCCCCCCCCCCCCCCCCCCCCCCCACCTATCCTCTCCAGCCGGCGCTATAGTTCTCCTTAGACATACATGTACAAGCTAAGAATGATACAGTAACCAACAGTCTTTCTCAATTGAGATTGGAATATATCTTTTTGGTGGACAGTTGCTGGAATTTCTCAAGACTACACCAATAGTCCTTTTCCGGACTACACACACTCAAGAAAGAAAGATTATCAAAAGTCCTTTTCAGGACTTCCCAATCCTCCCTCTCTCTTACATGGTGCAACCGCAAGCCTACCGTACTGTATAACTACAGAAATGTCGGTTTGATTTCTTGTACTGGCAAAGACATATTTTGGACAAGGTTCTGTTTCTTTAAATATTACTAGGTATTAGAACTAGGTACATGTACTAATCATACACGCATCAATTGAACAGTTACATGTACTTGAGGCTCGTTCAGATATGACACGATACATTGCTGTCTTATTCGTTAACATGTAAATACATGGCAACTGCACAAAAGACAGATCCTGCCCATATTTACTGAGCTCTCTAGGACACCTACCCCTGGATAACAAACCCCTGGATAACCACCCCCAGTCAACTACCGACAACTAAGACAACTACCCCCTAGGACAACTACCCCCTAGGACAACTACCCCAGGGACAACTACCCCTGGGACAACTACCCCCAGACAACTACCCCCTGGATAACCACCCCCAGTCAACTACCGACAACTATCCCCTAGGACGACTACCCCCGGGACAACTACCCCTGGGACAACCACCCCCCAGACAACTACCTACCAGACAACTATCCCCCCGGACAACTACCCCCTATACGACAACCATCATCTAGGACGACTACCCCCCGGACAACTATCCTAGGGGGTAGTTGTTTGGGGGTAGTTATTTGGGGGTAAGTTGTCCTGGGGGTAGTTGTCCTAGGGAGTAGTTGTCCGGGGGGTAGTTGACCTGGGGGGTATTTGTCTGGGGGGTAGTTGTCCGGGTGTAGTTGTCCTGGGGGGTAATCGTCCTAGAGGGCGGTTGCCCTAGGGGGTACATGTAGTTGTCCTAGGGGGTAGATGACTGGGGGTGGTAATCCGGGGTGTGGATGTCCAAGGGGGTAGGTGTCCGGATACAGATAAGACATGTGAAGCATATTACACTTTACGCTACATAATGAACCGCCACAGTTTTGCACGCAACTCTGAAATAAGCTGCCAGGAACCAGGGGCAATTTATTTTCAAAAGTTGCCCTTGGTTCACGGGATTTAGCCAGAACCAGGGGCAATTTTCCGAAAACAGATGACAACCAATTACACAAGTGAAATAAGCTCAAACATACAACAATGTTAATCTCAAAATGTGAATCCGATCAATTTTAATAACTTCTTAATCTTAACAAGATCAACAGGTAAGATTGTCATTATTATGATTAAGAACATCAACTAGCACATTTAAACAGTATTTCAATGTAACTAAAAATACTGATGAGCAAATAAATAAATAAATCGTAAATTTCACAAATATCGGAAGTCAGATGGAATTGGCAAGTCTATCCCAAATAGATCAAAATCGCACCATTCACACAAATGATGAAATAGCAAAGAATTTAGGAGTATCATGGATACCAATTCAATGAAAATTTGTATAAAAAAAGAGCCTCTATCATTACTAAAAGAGCCTCTGTGAGAAGGCTCTCAGGGCCCTTTTTTTTAAGAGCCCCTGTGAAAGAAAAGTTAATTCCAGGCTTGGAAATGATCTATGGGAAAGAAATCTTCTCACCTTTGTAATCTCATCCGTAGTAGCTCCTGGTTTCTGAGCTTCAAGCTGTTCTACAGCAATCGGATGGGGTTTCTTGGGAATCTCAAAATCACCCATGGTTGACACAACATGGGCATAGTTGGTCCGCTTATGCCTCCCGTGCTGGATTAGCTTGGCACGAAAGTCCATCTCGTGCTGTTGCTTAGAGTTCGGGAGCTGGTGGCCTGCCTTGTAATTGTAAGGGATGGGTTTGTCAAACTTGGAGAACATCTCAGGTAGCATGAAAGATGGAGTGTCTTTGTCCACATAACTAATATCCTCACCGGCCGAAGGGAGAATCTTTCCAATGAGGCTCTCCGCTTCTCCCCCGCTGGATTGGTGTTCGCACGGCAGGTATTGAAAGTCACACAGGTCTGTATTCAAGATATAAGAGCATATGGGGAAATATGACAAGAACGTTATCTCAAAGGCTGGTATAAATCTGGTCTTATTTTGGTACAGTGAAAAAAATACACGGGGCTCAGGGCGAAATAGCCCCCAAAATCAGAAAAGAGCCCTCTTAAATTTGCATAGAGTTTAATGCAAAACAAATATTAGAATGTTATTTTCATGCCGGTAAGGTACAAAAGTAGCCCCCCAAAAATAAATATTATTTTTTTCCCCTGTTTTGGTATACAGTAACATGCAGGTCTGATGTGCTATAAAGGCCTAATTTATAATGATAGGAAACGATTTGGCTTCGGTTTAATGGACACAACAGACCCCAGCCCAGCCGGAGTGATCTCAGGCTTGGTATTCCGGGTATTCCCCTAGTTTAACATCGAGTTAAGTCTATAACTTTTTCGTCATACATGCATTATCCATCATTCTTCAAGCGTTAACAAGCCAAAATTTAAGATACTATACCGCATTTAAAAAAACTCAAGCAAATTTTGTTCAAATATTTCGTTTTGAGAATCGATGCAGAGGTATATAAAATAAATATGGACTGCATATTTTTCGGGTCGTGGTTAAAACTATAGCTGTACACAACATAAAGAGTTTATTATTTACAATTTCATAACTTAAGACTTGATTTCAACCGCGACAACGATCACTGAATATTGCAGGATGGCATATGCTTCCAATATGTTCATTTGAACCAAATTCATGACCCCATACCAAAACTTTGTATTGTATTACTTTTAATAGCTGAAATTTTCTGGTTTTCTATTAGGAAAGCCAAGATATACAAAAAACATTTTGGCCATAATCTTGTAACACAATGAGAGATCAAAATTTATATATATATATATCCACTTACATGGAAATTCATATTTTTGTCCAATCACACCAAGAACCTCTGCAGAATATTGCCCGTTTGCTGAATTCCCATCCCTCTCCCCCTGGGAACCAGTCTTCAGACCTCCATCTTCACTCTCTCTCCTCCTTCTGTATCGACGTTTGACCTTCATGAGTAGGGATGTAGACCTGCAGGCCACGCCTCGAGCTGGCTTACAGTAAGGGTTACCAGGCTGGAAGTTGAGTGAGAGGGTGCATGGTCATCATTGAAAGCCTGAAAGGAAAAGATGGCCTTTGTGATTTTTGTCATGAAACTGAAACAATCAATTATTATTTATTGGAGTGTAAGAAATATGTACGAGAGAGGAAAAGAATGTTTTCTCGGTTGAAAATTAAAGATAGGAGTTTAAAGAATTTACTGGGGAATGAAGATCATCTGCACACTCTGTTGGCTTTCATAAAAGCTACAGGTAGATACCAATCATTATACATGAGTTATAACTAACTCTCTTGGAGAGGAAGGGAAATGAAAGTATAGTTTAGCACTGCACAGTTAACCCCTATTATTAATAAAATACTCGCACCCTGTTCATGGTCAACACCTAAAATTATTGCCCGCACCATCGAATAAACGGAAGCTGCATAGTACATGATACCCACTGAAGAGGAAAAGAAACAGCACCATCTAATCATCAGTGATGAACAACTAAAAAAAAAAAAAGCACAGCCAGACAGAAATAATCTTTTTAGGTTGGTCAGCCTTAAAACCCAACAACAACAACAACAACGAGCAAAGCATAAACAGCAGGATATTTTTTCCATTTTCATTTCCCAGCAGTAATATTTATTTATTTATTCATTTACATGTATTTACTTATTTAGCAATCCATGTAGACCCGACGGTCGGGTGGGGGTGCGCGCGTGTGTTAAGTTAGTGACTGTAATCTTAGTTTACGGTCGCTAACGTATATGTACATGTAACTGAACACACGCCTGCATCCCACCGTCAGTACGGTATGCAATTGTATTGTGCTGCAGTTTGCCGTGAATCCTGTGAGAAAGTGCATATTATAAGTCTTTGTTTTTAGGAAATACATAGAATCGAGTATCTATTCCTACTGTGAAAAAGATAAGAAAATTGACACGAAACAGGTAACAAACAAACATAGAGTCTACATGTATATAGACCTAGGGTAGAGTGCCCAGTATTCGGTCACTTAAAGTTGATACTCTAAGCAAATAAATGTCCCTTAATTTGTTACCTACGGCAAGTATATGTTATTTTTAAGTTTTTCAATTACTTAGTATATCACAAAAAAATTCTGTCTACTCGAAATCCTCAATTGAAATGTCTAAAATATCCGCCTCTCTTTGCATAGAAAATCAGTCACGGCGCTGGTCTACTATTTATGACCTCACGTCCGGGAGAGAGTATATTCACGTACCCGGATGTTCCATTGCAAACATGTGCAGAGTGATACGATTTTCTGCATATTTTTGTTTCAAAGGCTGAAAAGTCTAATAAATCATAATTCTATGTACAATTCTTTACCTTCCCCTAGTACTTCATAGTATTAATATCAATTCCCCTTTTAAAAATTATGACATATACATGCCAACGATGTGCTATTAGTCGATATTTTCACCATGTAATTTTTGTTTTGGTGTTGAAATCGGCCCAGGCACGGAGTGAACAGTAGCTGTCTACCCATGCACATTTCATTACCATACACTACAGCGATCTCCCGATGGTTTCTTCTTCCTTTTTCCCATGTCTTTCGCCTTCCTTGGCCCTGAACATCCTTCATCTACTAATTCTGACACCGGTAGTCAGGAGCAAGTCTTTGTTAGTTGTTTTTCTTAGCTGGCAACGTCGCTTTCATTCTCTTGCAATTGCCGATAAACATATAACTAGCGCACGTACATGTACGTTCCATCACAAGCAAGCAGCGCCTAGAGCAGCGGCTTGGTCTTACCTCCCGATTCTGCTCGCTTCACGAACGTTCATGCAAGAGCCGCATCACTCGCCAAAATATTACAGAGGAAGCGCGCTTGCATGATCTTGTTCAAGTTTGATATTTTACAACATAAAATGTTTAACTGGTACTGTATCCTTTTTTGAGGCAGTCACACACATCTATGACAAGTACTATCATAGTTCTAGACCTATTCGTTTTACAAAACTGCTCATGTACATCTGATGACAATATAATGCATCCGCCTATTCATAAGTGCACGATTTAACTTTAATTCCTAAGCAGTAAACTCGTCTTAAATCTCTACCAAATAGGTGAATATGAGGATATAAAAAGAAATCAGCGACTGGAAAATGTTGCTTCGTTATTCTTCATTCAAATGAAAACAGAAAATCCATCAAATATACTCCTTAACAACAACAAATCTAAGCTCTGACAGGATAGCATTTACGTAGGAATATCACTGCCATTCACTCTCACTGAGCCCATGACTCCCGTTCGTGACGTCACGGATAGAGGCCCGACTCTACGTGCACTTCCGGGTTTCAGACTTAGATATTTTGGTAGAGTTTACTCGAATAAATTCATTATTCTAAACTTGTTTTGTCGGGTGGACACCATTTGGTGTTATTATGGGGGTTAAAAGCTTTCTATTTATGTAATTATCTCAGTATTTGGGATTGTCTTAGAGTATCAACTTTAAGGGGAAATCGCTAATATTTTGAATTCTTACCTCTTTTATCTGGCAATCTGCCCATCAAAAGAAAAGAAATTTATTCCTCAACAGGATTTTATAGTCACTTAAAATATAAAATGATAAGCAAAATACTTCTGGAAGAAGACGGAGCATTTTTCTGCCCAGAATTCGTTCGCACCAAGGAGCGAAGCGTATTAGCGCACTATTTTCACACAATTGCGCGATAAAGCACTGAATGTCAATGCGTTGACCGAATACTGGACAAGCAATGCCGCATGGCAAGGGTATCGTATAAATACCTCTTGCACATCGGCAAGTGCGTCATTTGTAAATTCGCTGCGATGGAGTGAACTCGGAAGTGATTCTCTTCACACACATACTAAATTCATTGTGACAGCACACGTAGTTGTTTCGCAATAGACTTCTACATACATGTAGGGTAGAGTGCCCAGTATTCGGTCACTTTAGGGGAAATCACTAATATTTTGAATTCTTACCTCTTTTATTTGGCAATCTACCCATCAAAAGAAAAGAAATTTATTCCTCTGACAGGATTTTATAGTCACTTAAAATATAGAATAATGATAAGCAAAATACTTCCGAAAGAGGACGGAGCATTTTTCTGCCCAGAATCCGGTCGCACCGATTAGAATTCGGTCACGCGATTTGAGCGTGGTATCTCCGTTGCGAAGGAGCGTAGCGTATTTGCGCACTATTTTCACACAATTGCGCGATAAAGCACTGAATGTCAATGCGTTGACCGAATACTGGCCGAGCGATACCGCATGGCAAGGGTATCGTATAAATACCTCTTGCACATCGGCAAGTGCGTCATTTGCAAATTCGCTGCGATGGAGCGAACACGGAAGTGATTCTCTTCACACACATACTAAATTCATTGTGACAGCACACGTAGTTGTTTCGCAATAGACTTCTACATATGGCTATGCATGTTAGCGCATGTGCTAAGAGAACGCGGAAGTGCGGAAAGTTGTGCGACACTGACCAATTTCGAGCTAAGTTGGAGATCATTCCGGGGCCCTAAATCTGATTTAATTTTGAGAGTTAAGAAAAATTGTCCAGCTGCCTGATTTGTGCAAGTTTCGTGGCTAATAAATAATTTTTTAAATTGTTACAGCTGTTGAAACGGCTGTCTGACCGAATACTGGGAATTGACCGAATACTGGGCGCGCTACCCTATGGCTATGCATGTTCGCGCATGTGCTAACAGGACACGAATGTGCAGTAAGTTGTGCAACACTGACAAATTTCAAGCTAAGTTGGAGATCTTTTTTAATCTGATTTAATTTTGAGAGTTAAGAAAAGTTGTTCAGCTGCCCGATTTGTGCAAGTTTTGTGGCTCATAAATTATTTTTTAAATTGTTACAGCTGTTGAAACGGCTGTCTGACCGAATACTGGGAATGGACCGAATACTACTGGGCCTGGGCACGCTAGCGGCGCTACCCTATACTTTTAAATCATGACCTTTATTTGGACATTTGATGAATATTTCACTTCATTTTGGGTATGTTTTTAGTAGGGTATCTCCACGCCGGAGTACGGGTCAAAGTATGGATAGACTTCTGAACTAGCGCCAAAATTCAATCATGCATCATGCCGGGTTATAGTACCGGGTCCGAGTGAGCGCGACTCCAGCCTAGACCTAGGGGCCAGGGCCCCGATAGGCAGACCGACGAGGAAAGGCAAATAAGCCACAACTTGACATGTTTATCAGCTCATAAAAACTAACCTTTGTCAACTTGCTTTCTCCACCAAGTGTTTCTATCATCATCGAAGGATTCTTGACGACACCAGGGTAGTTCAAACTAATGAGTTGTTTGCAATTAAGCGGTGTTTCAATGGAAGTTCCACCGATTTTCCCATACTTCTCGTCCATCATGTCCGCCATGTGTAGGCGTGAAATACAGCTGTTTTGCTAGCTGTTAGGCATAGCGCATCTGATTTCTGCATGCAGCGCAGCTAGCTGAGCTGAGGAGATTGAGGAGACTACGCATAACTTTGCAAGACTATATTATCGGTGCGTTTGACCTTCGAAAAAATTATAATTTATAAAACAATTATAATTATCCCTCTAGAATCTCTTTGACAAAACAGCGCGCATGTACTACTAGTATTCATATATATGCGATGTGTCCTTTGTTTACAGTCAATATCCTCAAATTCCATCATTTGGCAGAGAATCTAGTCTATTATAGGACTATAATAATCATAAAAAAAGACTAGTAAAAGACTCGGGTTTGTCATAATTCTTTAGAAATATATCAATATGCTTTTGATTGACACAGTGATTTTTAGAATGAAACTTCGATTCCCCTATATGCAGGCCTACATGTCTTTGAAATCCCGTTATCAAAATTGTTTCCCTTTCCGACTCATGGCTCTGACACAGACCTACAGAGACACACACCAAACGGGGCATGCAGCCACTGACCTCTGTGGCACAGCATTACAACCTCCAACATTTTACAACGTCTGATTTCATTCAAATCAGTCCTTTTTACGGTGCTTGTCACAAAAAATTGTACCCAACTTAAGTAGGCCTAGCTCCTTATTACTAGAGTCATAACTACGGAGCCCGGGAAGGGACATGGTAAAAATATTTTTATCTCGTTAAAACGAGATAGTTATCTCGTTTTAATGAGATAGTATCTCGTTTTAATGAGATAGTATCTCGTTAAAACGACATAGTATCTCGTTTTAATGAGATAGTATCTCGTTAAAACGACATAGTATCTCGTTAAAACGACATAGTATCTCGTTAAAACGAGATAGTTATCTCGTTTTAATGAGATAGTTATCTCGTTTTAATGAGATAGTATCTGCTCTATTCTCTTAGTAAAATTGACCGTGTCCAAATACGTTGGAAAAGGAAAGCCCTAGGATAGATCTTCAAACTTGTTTACAAATTGCTTCCTACGTCATTATGCGAACACATTTCTTTAAAAGGATGTTCTTACGGGCTCAGAAATTCCGGCCATAAACTATCTTTAGGAAAACTCAAAACAAACAATGGGATTTATCTATACGGGTGTCCAATTATACAACGTGTTGCCTGAAAGAGTATCTTTTCTCAAATCGTAAGCTCTTTGAAGCAGAGGTAGATGCATTGTACCATTAAAGTGTCAGTCTCCCCCCAACCTCCACCTCCCTCTTTCTCTTCCTCTCTCTCTCTGTCTTATGTTCTCCCCTTCTCTTCCTCTTTCTCCTCAGACTTCCCCCTATATGCTCTCGCGTCCTCTTCTTCCCTCATCTTTGTTCTCCTTTTCCCTTCAGTTACTATACAAATGACACAGACATCTTACATGTATTGTTAGGTTTTCTTGTTTTTATTATGTTTCTCTCATTGTTATCGTATTCATTTCATTATCATGCTTAATTAATTATGCTTATTATTACTAGGTTGTTTCTCTGTGTAGTTCTATTCAATGTAATTTCTGTATGATTTATGTTTAAGTTTTTTACCGTGGTTAAATAAATTCAATCAATTATTCAATGAAGACTTTTTTTTAATTGGTCCCGACAGATGAGCAAGCTCCCATTACATAATAGGTATACTATTATGTTCCCTATGGCTAGCCATCTTTGTAGAGCCACCCAGGTGGAGTAAAACTAAGAGATCAAAATGTCATCTGTCCATAGTGCTTACAAAAATGTGAATAATTTAAAAAATAAAAAAAAATTTGGTGTGTATATTGTTCATGCATGGGGACCCCCATATTTAGCCAAAATCAAAGGTCATGTAAGTATTTTAATATTCCAGCTGTCACTTTAAGGACAATTATACCCATACATCATTAAAATAAATATTTAACTTTTAAGCAGATTAGTGAAAGTTTGAGCAAAATTAGATGATCCATTCAAGAGTTATGATTTCTTGAAATTTGATAAATTCCACGTCGCCCTCTCTTGATAAGAATTTGTGATGTCATAGGCGAACAGCAATAATATACAAAATTTAGGGGAAAAAAAATCACAAAAGGTCATTTTTCTTGGTAATCAAAACAAAACTTGACCTATCTCATTCAGAAAGCATACAAAAGATATTAACCTCTACATATTTCAATAAGATGTTGAGGGATTCCTCACTGATTCCATGTTCTGATTCCTGAAATCAAAGGACTGTGTTTGTATAAATCAGTCTGTTGTCGAAGTGTTATTTTTGTTTACTTGCAATTAAAGTTATACCTGTCATTCATCTTGCTCGTTTCCCAAATGTCTTATGTGACAACAATAGTGTTGGATGTCCATGTTTTTGCCTTCTGTGTCAATTTTTTCTTCTTCTTGTAACGTTGCTTTTCATGTGTGTGGGTGCCTATTTTCACCTTTACATCTATATCTATTGAAGATGAAGTACCACTGTGGAGCAGAGAAATAACTGTTATGTAACATTATTAGATGGAAATTTATAGAAATTCGAAGACAAGTAAAAAAAAAAAAAAAAAAAATCACAATTTCAGACATGTAATTGTTCAAATTCAATAAAATTTCTTTTCAACAGAAATTTCAAAGCATACAATTGGTAAATCCTTACATTAGCAATAACTGAGTGAAAAATCTTTTCCAGCACAAATTGACAATGCATTGATCAAGAATGTGTTTGTTTTTTTATTCTTAATGTAATGCATCACTTTTTATGTACCTTCATATTAACTTGTTCTTGGCAATTTGATAATAGAATCCCCCCCCCCCCCCTGAAAATAACATTTTGAGTCTCTGCCACCACAAGGCAATTCAGGTAATTCCCTAAATTGTGGATTGATGTTTATTGTAATTTTAGTTGTCAATATTGTGATGGTGGTTATTACGATGATGAAGATGTAACAAGTCGACTTGCAACCATTGTATCTTAGCTTCCTAACTTTAAGGTATATATATTGTACTTGAAGGGGACTTCCAGACGATTTTAAAGCTTTAGTGTCTGGTTGTACATGTACTGATCTCCTTGACAAAGAATACAAAGTGCACAATTCTTGAGCAAAAAGAAGATGCAGTATTTTGAAAATTTGTAATGATGACACAGGTTCACATTAGAATGCAAATACATCGGCTCCTCGAGGAAGCATGAAGAAGAGAAAGGTACAAGTTCAAAACACACAAATTCAAACGGGTGAATTGGTTCAGAAAGTAGTAATGCAGTAAAAACAAGAGCAACGCTAAGCGTCGCATCCCCTCGCCGAGTACAAATTACCTATACGTTAAAACAAGTTACCTCCAGTAGACTTACTATTATATTACTACGCAAGGAAGTTACTAATACCTGGAGATCAGATGTACAGAAAGTTTACTACTTTATGGAATATCAAATTTCGGGCTATTGAGGGTTAAGATATATTTTGCTTCAGGGGTTTCAGCTTAATTTCCTGAATGCATATATTTAAAGCAACACAGTAATCTCCTGCTTCAGATGGATGTACAATTCTAAGGCATCCTGGACTTCCATTGGTTGATCAAGGTTGTCTCTTTTCATAATATACACACACAAGTCATATACATCTTTGTCGCATGGTACGGTAGATCGGAATACAGCATCACTTATGCATGCAGCCAGATCGTCATCATCAACATTGGTGCAAAGCTGATCTTCAGTACCCCAGATTTGTGGAGTATGATACATCATCATTGGATGGCCACTTTGGTACATGGAGATTCACAGAGGGTCGGATACGGTGATTGTTCCATATATCAGCCATCTTGTCTAGCTCTGTCTGTAAAATAATTTGTGAAACAATACTACCATGGTGAAATTACGAATCTGATAAATACAACTTTAAGTTATTAGTAATCCAATTACGGCAATATAGAACTACTTGATTAAGAACCTGATATATTATGGCCATATTCTTGGTCTAAGTCCTCTGCAGTTAATTGTATTGTGCACTCACAATATATTGTACGGTACACATATGCTACTGAAATGCCCCAATTTTATGCCCTAAAAATTCTGATGCATGTAACTTTCAGATTAATTACATGGCAAATTTTCATATTTTTGTTCCAGAGCCCACAAATGTTGACAATAAGTGACAATACTTCACCTTTTCAATTCCATTGAATCATGCTTAGTCTTTTATCCCAAACCTTCAAATGTGACACCGGGCTGCCTCAGAGGAGCGGCTGCCATGTGAGGAATGTAATTCACATGGATAAGAGTTCTTTGCATATCCAGCTTTTGTGGCAAGTAAACTGTTCCAAAGCATTACATTATTCAACATGCCTTTACATAGTTAAGTCAGATTTAGATGTAGTTCCAAAGCACATTTTGAGGTCTGAACTCCTTGGATCTTTAGTTCCAGTGAACCCCCATTTTTGGTGAGCCCCCTAATTTTGCCTCTGCTGTACTTGTGGCACATATACCTACATGTACATGTACCAGCATGTGGGGTGAATGCCCCCAACCCTCATAAAATAAAATATATTGTAAATGTAATAAGAAACACAATTTTTTCAATGACTAGATTCCAAGTTCTGTCACAAAGATGCATGGTAACCAGTGCTTTTCTAAATCATTAAGAAGAGTGAAATGCCTGGCCAGAAAAATTAATTATCATTTGGGCATCACTAGTAAAGTAAGACATCATTTGGGCATCAAAAAACATCATTTTGGTACGGTAAGCAATAGGCACAGGGACCACCCGGTTCCAGTATGCAATGGACTTATACGAGATAGTATCTCATTAAAACGAGATAACTATCTCATTAAAACGAGATACTATGTCGTTTTAACGAGATACTATCTCATTAAAACGAGATACTATCTCATTAAAACGAGATACTATCTCATTAAAACGAGATACTATGTCGTTTTAAACGAGATACTATCTCATTAAAACGAGATAACTATCTCGTTTTAACGAGATACTATCTCATTAAAACGAGATAACTATCTCGTTTTAACGAGATACTATGTCGTTTTAACGAGATACTATGTCGTTTTAACGAGATACTATCTCGTTTTAACGAGATACTATCTCGTTTTAACGAGATACTATCTCGTTTTAACGAGATACTATCTCATTAAAACGAGATAACTATCTCGTTTTAACGAGATAAAAATATTTTTACCATGTCCCTTCCCGGGCTCCGTAGTCTACTGATGCCCTATTCATAATATTTCTGCCACGGGTGACTGAGCACCGGAGGGTCAGTTTAAAAAGTATTGTCAAAATCGCCTTGTACCAAATTTGGGCTGATGGAACGATGTTGGTCAGGCCATAATAATAATTATGCATCGGTGCTTCTTTGGTCTTAAATCCTTTTAAACGTAAAATTATGCCTCGTGTTTCAATGATGCAATGTATAGAGGATTTTATAGAACTTAGTTTCAATCCATAGGATATAAACTTTAATTATTTTGATCAGCCTATATAAGCGAGCAAAAGATTTGAGATTTGTGAGGTACGTCACAGTGCAAAAATTACACCTTATAAAGAGGAAAAACAATCCTGATGGGGTTTTAAGCACAATGGAGTCATGAAAGACTGAAATAATCTTTAATAAGAAACATGATTATATCAACTTTAAATGCGAGCGAGCGTAGCAAGCCAGCTTTGGGTGAAATTAAAGAAAAAGTTGCTCTTAATCGCTATAAATTAGGAGCACATTTTATGGGGAAAGGAAAAGGGGGCTCATTTACAAAAGGAAAAGGAATTTATTAGAAAGAAAAAAAGCACGTGTCAAAGTAACAAGGAAAATTACCAGAGGTGTAAATGGGGCACACCTTGCACTTAATAAAGGGCACTCACCAGAGATGAAAAAATCACTTATGACAACGGAAAAGGGGCACTTATTACAAAGAAAACAGGGCAATTATCAGGAGGAAAATGGAACTAATTAAATAGGATAAGGGGTAGGCCTACGTGTCAAAATAAAAGGGGCACTTATCAGAAATGCAAAGGGGCAGTTAAATTAAAAAGTTAATCTGAATTAGTTGCTGAATTAGTTTCACTAAATTGTGCTTTTAGGTAAAATATATGGTCTCGCATTTAGCAGATTTTTTTCTTCTTTTGCCGTGGCCTTGGTTTGTTTCTTTCTATTTCTCTTTAACATACTTTTTCAAAAAAGATTACACAAAAAACAAAGATTTTGAAGCAATCCATCACCGGCATGGATAAATGAAAACATTTTTCAAGCCATGAAGAAAAGAGACTTGTCAACATCCAAAGCTATTCCAGCCGTCTGTTTTCCGTGTTTTTGTTTAATATTTCGCTGTACATTATTTCGTTCTTAATGTTGTTGTTTCCAATTTAATGCCATGTGATTTTGCTTATGTATACTGTATATTATGTACACAATATAATTGCTTTTGACCCAAATTCATTGCTTCAGCCCCAACTTGGTATAGATTTTAACGATACTTTTGAAAAGCCTGCAGCTCAGTCATCCGCGGCAGCACAACTATGAATATGGCAGGGGCGGATCTAGGGGGGGGGGGGTGCCTTGTTTTGGCGGTTTAACTCCCCCCTCCTTGGGCAGCCAATTGAAAAAACAAACAGTAAAACGCCGCGATTTTTGGAAAACAGTTTGGTCACCCCCCCCCCCCTGGCAAAAAGCTAGATCCGCCCCTGTATAGTGCACTGTATGATCAGACAGGGTATTTGTAATGTTACTCTTTACCATGAAACATGACTCGACGTCACTGTTTAAAGATAAGAGTGGTGAAGTGTGATGTCATTAAAAATCTATTTTGAGAATTTCTCTTCTTTTTTTTTAATTTGTTATTTTGCTCTGGTTCGTAATGTTATGAACCAGAGCAAAATAACACTGAGCTCCTATAGGATTTTTTTTATTCGGATGGTCATATCTCAGCCAATACTGAACATATTCAATTGGCTTTCAAAATTTGGACATTATTTATGATGCTCTTTCGGAAAATGAAGAAAAAAGTGAGAAATTCCAAAAAATAGATTTGTATGATGTCACAGCTTCGGCACTTTTTTTTGATACGCACTGTATGGCTCTTGTAAAGACAAAATTGGCTTTCTTCCTTGGTAATTAATTACCCAGGGGTAATTAACTTTGTTTTACAAACTCTTCTACAATACTCTTGAAGTAGGCTTACATCAGTGGAGGAACCGTAACGACAGAGCGAAAAGATTCCAGCCGATAAGATTCGAAATAAGTTTCTCTCTCTCTCTTTCATTTTCTCATCTTCCTCCCCCTTCTTATTTTTTCCCTCTAAACCCTTATTTTAGTCCAAGAACAACGTTTTTGTTTTGTTTTGTTTTGTTTTGTTTTGTTTTTGTTTTTTTTTTGGGGGGGGGGCTGCAACCCTAAGCCTCCTCCTCCTCCTCCTCCTCCTCCTCCTCCTCCTCCTCCTCCTCCTCCTTCTCCTCCTCCAGTAAGCATCACGGAACACGCAAAAACAACTGTGAACATATTACCCTCGAGATCATAATAGACTCGCCCGTTCGTTGTATGTGTGTTTATCACACTATTACTCCACTGAGTCGAAGATGTTAGATCACTGAACTCTAACACTATACGTAGTGTTAGAGTTCAGTGGGCTAGGTACGGTCTGTCATCCGTGATCATAATATATCAGAGCCCCATTTCACAAAACTTGTCACCAGATTTTGTCATAAGCTAGTGAAATCCTTGCTTTTGATTGGTTATCAGCAGATTTGTCACTGATTTTTGTCATTTGTCATTGAAAAAAAACTTTGTGAAACGGGTCTCGGGTCATTACACAATATCTCCTCTTCTTATTCTTTTGTTTCTCCTTTCACTATGTTTCCCCCCCTCTTTTTCAGCATAACCATCATCAGCATCATCATCATCACCGTCGTTATCATCATCATCACCAAGTGCCCAGTGGCGGATCTACGGGGGCGGGGTAGGCCCCCCCCCCCCCCCCCCCCTTGGACTGCCAAGTGAAATCAGATATTCAACTCATCTGGTAACTTAACCAAACACATGATAATTCTGGATATAACTGTGTATTAAACTGTTAAAACGACGTTATCATGCACTGCGTTTTATGGTCTCCATTGTGTTAGTACTAATAGTAAATGCCAGGAAAACATCGCTTACGGGAGTTCAAAATAGCAAGAAAAAAATCGCCTCGTCGCTACGCGGCTCGTGGACGATGCTCCGCATCATCAACCCCCCTTAAAAAGAAAAAGCTAGATTCTCCCCTGGTGTCATCTTCTTCTCTTTCTTCTCTCTCACACACCCCCACTCACCCATGTGCACACAGGCATACGTACCCGACCACATTTATACGCAAACAGACAACCTCTCTCTCTCTCTCTCTCTCTCTCTCTCTCTTTTCACAATGATTTACAATGAGCCATACTAAACAAGCCGTTTGTTAAGATCATTCTGTGTATTTATTCATGTATTATATATCAATCGCAATTAACCAACTTTAATTCCACAAAGAGCTACTATACGTAAATATTGTGATTATAGTAAAGGAAATCTAGAAAACATAATTACGACACTTGGTGACCAAGAGTTATATACAACATATAGGAAACAGAATAATATTCTAGATATATTTATTTATATATATTTATGCTAAATAACAAGAGATATTTTCCTATTTTTCAGATTTGTATAATTCAATTTCTTTGCTTCCATGTCCAAAGACGGGAAAAGAGTTGTAATGTTTGTATTTGAAAGGTTCTTTTGAGAAGAAAAAAAATGCATTTGTAAATATGATGTTGACGCTCTTCAGCCAACAATGCCTCTATGGTACATTGATAATTTGACTACCTGGTATTCTTTAGAAACGAAACACTCTGAAGAGCATCCTTTCAGAAACCCGATAATTTTGAATAAAAATGAAATATTTTAAAAATAATAAATCATGTTTTCAACCATGCTTTGTTTGACAGAGGATTATGCAATATTAGTGACAATATTAGATGAAAATGGAATTGTTTGTTTAAATGGCTTAATGCCAACAGAATTGGTTTGTCATGTAGAGATTACTTTTTCTTTCGGAGGGTAATAAATAAGTGAATAGCAAGTGGGGAAAAGGGCAGTATTCTAATGATTTTTGAGACCATCCGTGTACTTAACAGGTAAAAATTACTTGCTGTGGATAAGCGGTTGCCAGTTGACAGAAGTCTTCAAAGACCTAAATAATTCCTGCCTATCAAAGGTATTTTCTCAGTTTGACAATGATTATGGTCTTGATTATAGTGAAGTAACTTCACTATAATCAAGACTGAAGTTGCTCATATATTCATGATATGGAATGTTACAATAATGATTAAAGGTTAAGAGTACTCCATTACAAGATTGTCAATAGTTAAATTCCTAAAAATAATTGATTAAATGCATTGGAAAAAAGGAAATGAAAGAATGTTCATTTGGTAAAACAGTGGATTAAAACACTTATTCATTCTTTTTGTGCCCCTATGTTTTTACATTTTAGGAAAAAGTATTAAATTTTTTTTTTTTAAATCTATTATCAACTTTCTACAATATACAACACTACTGGAAGTTATATTTGGTATGATCCAAGTAATACCTTGGATACTAAAATCGGTTATAATTATCATGATATTGTTGGGTAAACAATTTATACTGCAGTGCAAAATTATATCAGTCACACCTGATATTACATTTTCTCCCGACTTTTAAGATTATTATTATGCAGAAATTTAAGAGTATATAATTATCTAAACGAAACAAAATGCATTATACTCATTTTTAAAATATCAGAATGTTTAAAACAATTCATTACACATCATGTGTATTACATGTACGTAAAACTTCCAATACAGTTCCTACTATGAATGTCTCACAAAAGTCTGCATTTTTGTTTGTTAGATCACGATAAATGTTTGTATTTTCTACTCATTAATGATTCCCTCAATCCAGTCAACATAGTGTGGGACTCTGGTGTAAACACCAAAGGTTACACCACATTTGATGCCGTAGCTCACGATCCCGATCTGCCTGTATTTCTCATTCCGTTGCACGACCAAGGGGCCACCTGAATCGCCTTGGCATGCATCACGTATGATCCCGTTCTCTGATCCCGCACAAAATTCAGTAGTCGTGTCTACACGTACAGTCTCACCTTTCCGTCCGCTCATCGCACTTGTACATGTTCCATCTTTAACCAGTGGTATCATGATTTCCCTGAGAGCAGGCGAGTCCTCTCCGTTGAAGCTGATATGACCCCAACCTGTGACGAAAGCCGTCCTCTTATGATTCAAGTACCAATTAACTAGATATGAGAATTTAAAGTACATAAGGGGGAGGGGTGAAGAAAACAAGAAGACATCATTAATGATAGACCTACAAAATGATCATGCACAGAGAAAGATGTAAGTTTTAAACTACAGTTTGCGACTCTTCAAGTTTTAAACAACGACCACTAACAACAACGCGGGTTCACACAGGACCGAAGCAACGAGTGTTCGAAGTTTTAAACTACAGGTCCAGTGGGCAGTAGTTTGTGACAACAGGTTGGCGAAACATCGACGTTAATTGCGTAGGCCTATCGCTCATAGTTTTCACTTAAACAGAGATGCCAACCTCTTGACACAACAAACAGACTGAATATCCTAAAAAATCTCATTTTCACGAAAAATCGACACTGCCACTGGCCTGTTGGCCCCGGGCCAGTAAAATCACAGAAAAATGTTTTACTGGTTTTATTTTGTTTTAATCTAATTTTGTTGTTCAAAATTATAAAACCGTATTTTCAAGAGGCATTATCATATTATCGTGTTTCACTTATTTTATTGTACTAAATACTATAAAAACGTACTGGTTGGCATCTCTGCTTAAACTATAAGATCGTTCGTGCTTTAAAACTTCGAATAAATAGTTTGTGAAACCAAGATAACCTCGAAATTTAAAACTTCAAGCTTAACTTATTTTACAGACTTGGGTGAACCTAGCTAAAGATAGATAGAGATGGAGAGACAGACAGGGATGGTGGGAGAGAGAGAGGGACAGAGAGAGGGGTGAGAGAGAGTGAGGAAAGGGGAGTGGGGTTAAAGTACAAGTCCACTCCGAAAATAACTTACTTTCAATAGAAGCAGAAAAATCAGACAAACCAATCAAAAAAAAGTTTGAGCAAAATCGGATTAATAATAAAAAAGTTATGAATTTTTAAAAAAGTATGTAAAACTATGGAACAATGAAAATCACTACAAAAATTGCCAATTTAGTTATAAGTTTGTGACGTCATGTCCTCACTATTTATCAATTGCTTTATATAGTTTAATCTCATTAATTTCCCTTTTTACCCCCCCCCCCCCCAAACTTTATTTCCCCATGCCTTTGCCCAGGTTATATGATTTGAATCATATTGCGTGCATGACATTTCACAAAATGTTTTATGAACTTTGAAGAATCGATACTATTTCTGAATATTATATATTTATAATTATTGATTTGTATATAAATAGTTTATCAAAATTCAAATTTGTCATGATTTAACTGGAAAAAAAACTCTATATTAGTGCATCCATACAAAAACATATTACTATCAATCGGATGCTGGTGTGAATATATAAGATTCTTAGGGGGAATAGGAAATTTATGTTATCAATATAAAGAAAATAATAAGTGGATAGTGAGGACATGGCGTCACAGACTCATCAGTGAGTTGCAAATTTGTCTTGTGATTATCATTGTTCTATAGTTTTACATACTTTTTAAAAAATTCATAACTTTCTTATTAGTCCTCCGATTTTGCTCAAACTTTTTTTGATTGGTTTGTCTGATTTTTCTGCTTCTATTGAAAGTATTTTTTTTTCTTTGGAGTGGATTTGCCCTTTAAGAAGAGACATCGATTTCAAATGCTGCATTCATTATTAACAATTCGTTTTAGCAATATAATGTAAACATAATTCCACCCAACATTAAAAGATACAGACCACCATTTATATTGATATTGTGCACATTTATACAGTGCAAAAAATAAACAAAACTGATTCCATATGTCTCCCTTCTATTTCCGGGGGTTAAACCCCCCCCCCCCTTTGGTAATTTTGTGTGTGTAAACCCCCCTAAATTTCTCTAAAATCCCCCCCCCCCCCCCCCCTTTTGGATTTTTTTAAATTTTTTAATTTTTATTTTTATTTAAAAAAAAAAAAAAAAAAAAAAAAAATCCCACGGTTGACCTAAAAAAGCTGACCTTACCCCCCCCCCCCCCCCCAACGGAGCAAAATGTCAAATTTTCAAATTTCGAGACCAAAAAAAAAAAAAAATGTGTCCTCTTCCCCCCCCCCCCCCCCCCCCCCCCCCCCCCCCCCCCCCCCCCGCTTATTCAGCGGCTGGCTGAGCCGTTGCGAAATTTTCGGCCCGATTTATAAATGTTAAACCCCCCCCCCCCCCCCCCCCCCCCTTGAAAAAATCCTGCGTACGCGCCTGATTATCGTCATCAATAAAAGAGAAGACTTGTGAAGGAGAGGGAAATAGTAGGCAAAAAAGGTCCTGGATGAAAACAGCTACAAAAGATTGTAGATTTTGAGCTCTATTCACTTTAAGGAAGGCTTGGGGATTGTTGCGACTTATTTTGAAGGGATTCTTTACGACATTGGCAGTGTACTGAGCATGCATGCAAGAGCAAAACTGAAATTTAGATAGCAGTCTTTATGAATTCAACTTTAAAATTTAAACGCAAGTCTTAAATACGCGCCCTGGTTGATTGGAAATCAAGTCGATAAGCCATTGATATTAACCAATTAAAAAGAAATAAAAGTCCTAAATACCCGATCATGATTTTGTGGAAAATCACCGGTTGTTAGATAAACTTCACCATTTCGGAAATAAGTTTGAAACGGTGAGTAAAAAATGTGAAAGGCCTATAATATAATGCAAGTATTATTTACATTAGGCAAGTGCTTTGATAATACCTGAAATCAATTTCACCACTCTGTACTATTTCATACGTCAAAATCGTTTTCAAATACCTTTTTGGGGGTCATTTGGTGGAAGACAGACGGTACGTACGAATGGACTCAGCTCTGCTTCACGATCCAAACGCAAGAGGGCGATGTCATTGTGCTCTCCTCCGTCGACGGGGTCCTTGAAGTAGTCCGGGTGCGTAATCACTTCCTTCACATCGAACACCTGGGCCCTATTCTTATCATTCACTCTGTGTGTCAGTCCTAAATATATAAATCAAAAGACGAGAATTAACATCGTAAGTGGATCGGATGACGATATAAGAAAATGTATATGAGAAACTGTTATGTCTTCGATCATGCAACATTTTTTGTTTTCAGGCAATGTTTTGTATTCTTAGGAATGTACTGGTGAAAGAAAAAATGGCATTAAAAGATGAAAATTAAGGGAGAGAAGAGAGGAAGAGAAAGGAAGAGAGAGAGAGAGGGGGGGGGAGGGGGAGGGGGTGGGGGAGGGGCCGAGCGGAAGTTGAATCGAAAGAAAACGGCAATCAACCAAACGAGACGAAATTTTGAGAGCCAGGAAGCTCACGTTACGAGGATTGACCCAATCGCAACTGTGTATCTGTAAGAACCATCTAATATGAATAAATGCAATGATTTACCATTGCTATCGTTTTACCTCCCTTTTAAATTGTGACATCGAATATATTTTGTTAATTCTTTATAATTCGGCCATTACTTGTTTGTTGGCATGTAATCTACATCTCTTGTTAATATCCATATCATGTATTTAAGATGTCATGTACCGGTAAATAAAACCCAAATATCTTGACTTCCTAGCTTTGTATGTACATACTACATTTCTTTAGATAGATAAATTACTGTTTTTTTTGGTCATAAATATATCATATAATTCGTATTGCAACATCTCTTAATACCATTAAACGTTCAACGTATTACAACTTTTCATAATGCATCCGCCACCGAGGGTGGTGCCGAACGCGGCCGTGTCTGTCCGGAGCCGGTCCGCGATACCAAAAGGCGGGATGGACGTCCGGACAAACGGACAGACGGATTGGGCGATCAAAATATAATATATCGGTTCCAATTAAGAGATGTTCATACCAAGCTAGGAAGTTAAGATATTTGGGTTTTATTTACATGAAATCGTTAATACATTTTGTAGATATTAACATTAAGATTACATTTCTCCCATAATGTACATGCCAACAAACAAATAATGGCTAAATGATAAAGAATTATCCATTGGAACGAAGAACTGAATATACTTTGGTGTAAGAGGTCAAAGATTACAGGTTCAATAAAAGTGTTAAAAACATCAGAAAATATCTCGTTACCGCGTTTACTTTAAGAAACATTAAAAGCAATTCAAACCAAACTTGGATGAACTATATACATGCGCATATTAGAATGAATTCATCAGGTTTCATGTATTTCGTGGCTACAGGTCATAAGGTTACAGGGCCATGAAAGTGTTTAGAAATACCAGAATGAATTTAATTTCTGCACTAACTTGAAAACCATTGAAGGAATAACCTGGCTTAAGTGTAATAAGAAGAAACAAAAACGAATTGAAATGTTAAAGGTTAAAATGTAACGAGGTCAAAATTCAACGTTTTGTTTACGGCGATAACGTAAAAGACATTGAGGCAAATTGTAACCAAACTTGGTTCAAGTAGGCCTATGCAAGCGCGGATCCAGGATTTCTTAGGGGGTAGGCCCAAATTTGAAATCAATTTGAAATTTAGTGTGCTGAAATTTGAAAATCGTGCAGGCCGATAATTCGCTCATTAAGGGGGGGGGGGGGGTAGTGAGTACTATTTTTTTTCCTTTTTTGCCCCCGGAAAATTGAAAATCGTGCCGGCCGATATTTTGCTCAGTGGGGGGGGGGGGGGGTGGCATAGTGAGCCCCTTTTTTTTTAATCAACACCCCCCCCCCCTCCACTTGAGCGAAATATCGACAGGCGCGATTTTCAAATTTCCGGGGGGCTGTCTTCTTTTCTTTTTTTTTCGGCCAGGGGGGTGGGGGGCAAGGCCCGCTCGGCTCCCCCCTGGATCTGCGCCCGGGCCTTACTATAATCATGTAAGAAGGAGCTGATTAGAATACAGCATACGATATCAAAGATGAAAGGTCACAGGGTCATGAGAGCGTCAAAATCCCCAATCATCTTTACAGTGAAAGAGTCATAGCTTTTACGAAAGAATTAAATTCAACCAACTTGGGCTCAATTATGTATGAGCATAGAAAGAGTTTTGGTGTATGAGGTGAGATGTTAAAGTTTACAGAATCGTTAATTAGAGAAATCATAGGCGGGGGCATATTGGAGACACAGTTGCATTCATCTAACATCTTGTTTAACTTTAGATCTGTTATACATTAAAAATATTTGTCTCTATCCATTCCCGGTATAATATTGTGTATTAACTATCATATGTGTTAATGAACAGAATTCCTTGGTGTGTATCACTGCGTATCTGGACACCTACTCCCTGGACATCCACCCCCGGTTAACCACCCCCAGTCAACCACCCCTATAGGTGGTAAGTAAATACAATACAGTACATTGCAAAACAATAGACCTACCAAGATAAACAGTTGTTCCATTCTGGCTCAGTACGGGAGTACGGTCTTTAATGAAACAGTGTGCTGCGGTCAAAATCCAGTTCTTGTGAATGAGAGAGCCCCCGCACAAAAGCTTGTCGAATAAAAATCAATCAATCAATCAATTATTTATGTCATCTCTATTATCACTCGGTATAGTACAAACATCGATCTTGATTTTACACGGTGGAGGAGGGACTGCACACTTTTCAAGAATAATTATAGTCTCGAGCCTATCCCCCCTCCCCCACCCCTCTCCTTCCGTCCTGATTCATACAGAAAAAACCTCACATGCGGAGTATACGTTTTGTTTATAACCTAAGATCCACCCTAGACCATAGTCCTAGACCGAATTCTGGTCAATTTGAATATTTTACCTTTAATATTAAAATAACAAATAATTATAATTGTATTATTAAGATGCCATGATGAACTTACATGTAATGATGTTAACAGTTAATATTTCTTTCATCGTATGTCGAATTCTTGATATAAACTTTAATTATTTGTATGCCCCTTAAGCATTTATGTTACGCTTTATAAATATTGTTATTGTTATTAATATTTAGTGCTATCGTTGGAAATGTTTGTCAAATGGTCTCATATGAGACATAGGCATTCTTACTTGATTTGAGTCTTCATCGTAAAGGGCTGCCTGCCACGGCCAATCCCCCGAATGGGATTCACTACCACCAACAATGCGAGACGTCCCCGACGGATGTTTTGACTTTCCACATTCCTCGTAAGCTAAGAAATAAGGAAACCACTTTATGAATAATTCGAGAAATGAATGAATCGTGATTGGCGAGATTTAAATTACCCGATTTTTTGTTTTAATCGGTGATTTAAATCACTTAATAATAATAATAATAATAGTGGGTTCTTGTATAGCGCTCATGTCAGTCAGATTTGACCCTCCTGGCGCTCCCGATTATTACCCTGGCTTTAGCACGGCTGCCATACGGCGCTCTAGCATTTCAAGGAATAAATTCCTACTTCCATTAACATGTGTGTTAATTTTCCCCTACTTTGGCACAGTTTGGTGCTACTTATATACTGTATCTATTAATTTATTTTGTTGAAAATTTGAGATTTTTAGGTGTTACTATAGCTTACACCTAGGCCCATCACTAAAAGCGATGCAACACACTCAAAGCTCATATTGTGTTGTTATCCTTTTTCTTTCTTCTGTGACTGTTTCAGTGGGCCTACAGCTCTTTTTCTCCCTCCGTTCATGTTTTCTTGGATAATTCCCTATGTATTTCTTTATTTTGATTCTTGTATCCTTTCTGTCGCTTCCCTTGTGTTATTCTTTCTTTTTAATATTCTTTAACCTATTCTTTTCTTCTATCTTTCCTAATGTTATTCCTATTATAATTTTGACCGCCAAGTACATGAAAGTCCTCTTATAACCAAAACTACCGGTTTTTACTTTCAATAATAGGTTACTTTACAGTTAATGCAAAACATCCACATGACCACAGGTACGCGTACAGGTTTTAATCGCACATGTCCTTGATTTTAACCCCCCTCCCCAAACAAAAACAATCGAAAAAATTAAAAGTTATAAGAAATGAATGAATGAATAAATGAATGGGCGGATAAATGAATGACTGAATAAATAAATAAATTAATGAATGAATGACCGTATGAAAGAATAAATAAACATATAATAAACGAATAAGTAAACAAATGACATGAATAAACAAATGAATAAATAAACGAATGAATAATTGAATAAGAAAATACCTGAAGAAAACAATAAAAATAGATTTAAGGTTTGTTTATTTTCCCTTTTTTTTATTTTCCAGGAATTCACCACATGCGAAATTTAAATGTTTATTTTGTTGAGAGTTTTGGGCAGATGTAAGTCCTGGGGCTGGGAAGGGGAGGGGTCAATGGACCCGATTTTTTTTTAAAGGGGCCTCTAAAGTTTCTGTCTAGAAAAGCATGCCCATGGAGTCGCGAGGTGATAGAATCCGAATCCGAATCTATAGGCCTACTCAGTTAAAGAGAACAAATTACAAATAAAAACAGAAACATAGTAAACAACAACGACAACAACGACGTGTATACCTGATAATAAAAGCATAACAAAGTTTTGTCAATGCTACTCATCAAGTTAAGTGAGAGGTAGAACTGTGAATAGAATAGGTAAATTAAAAGGCAATATGACACTTAAAATATAAGTCAGCTTATTTTTAAAAACTTGGAAGGCACTTTGAAAACACAAGACCTTCTTCTGCTTCTTGTTTTACATAGGCATACCATTAATCTTCACGCAGAAAAGATCATAAAGACTTCCAAGAAATCAACACAGGGCAATTTTAGAAACCACGTTTGGCTAACATAGTACATTATAGTGATGATTTCAAAAGGTTATATCAAGGCTACTTCAATTATTGACCAAATTTTTTTTTTTTTTTTAAATAAATTCTTTGTGTGTTGTTAGTACCTTTTTTTTTCTTCATGGAAATTGAAGGACCAAATGTTTTTTTTTTGCATTACTCACATCTGTTTGTAGAGGTAATGGCTTCCACGGCGCGTTCCAGCTCATTATAATCCGAGAGATAAAATACATGTTCGCTGACAGGCGGAGAGGCGATTTCGGCAAGTGCTGTCTTGTCCGTGTTCCTGCTAATTCCTATGCAGTGTATCTTGAGGGCCGCATCTTCCTTTAGTGGTTGAGCGCTTTTCGATGGGGCACCACCGACGTTACTGAAACCTGAAAGATAACAACAGCCGTGAATTTGGTGAATTAGAATTAATAATTATTCAATCCGATTCAATTCGTATTTATTTCATTTCCAAAAGTAAGATAAACAATGTTTTATATATATTATTACAGGTAGTATAACAAAATGTATGTACATATTCATTTGTTATCTTGATAAGTATAAACATTACAATACATAATAACATTATTACAAGAAATTCTTGCCCCCTCCCATTTTTTCAGAAGATTCATGATAGCGAAAAGGAAATAGAAACTACATTATTTTCAAATTACAATTTTTCTGTACTGAAAAATACTATGTTGAACCTATTTCATTTTCGGCTTTTATAATTACGAACTTAATTGTATTCCTTAAACACCTAACCTTCGGAAAAGTTCTAGATTAAATGGAGGGCAAATGACAATGGCGATATTAATAACAAGATGATAGGGAAGGATAAGGAATGGTTAAAAAGATGTGCATTGTAACTTTAGAATTAAAATGAATGTAATTCAACTTATCTTGCTGAGAGTCAAAACAGTGAATACATAATGCACACATATTCGGGTACACGGGACTACACACGTACAGCAGTCATGGGGCGCCGAAATTTAGTTCAAAGTTTTTAACTATCTCTCGTCCAATTTAGATGATGTATTTCAAGAGCAATATCTTGAATGTAATATTATAGGCTAACGAATATTTGTTGAGGATTAGGGGGGGTCTCGGTCGCAGGCCGATTGAAGCCAAATCTTCTCTTCTCTTCTATTTATTAATTATTGGGGGAGGGGGGCTCATGGATACTTTAACCCCCCCCCCCTCCCACCAGAAAATACAAGGGGGCTCCCCCTCTTCACCCAAGCCTCCGGTTCCTAAGCCTATGCCCACTATGGTGTTTTTACACAAACAACGAATGTATGAAAAGTAATGAATAATTTTTACCTTAACAAACACTAATAAGCTGAGCTTACCGTCTGTTATGATAAATAGAATGCGTTTCCTGCTGCTGTACCCAGATTCATCCGCTGTTTCGGTAATCATTACCCCGATTGTCTCGAGAGCAGCGGGCAAATTTGTTCCTTTATCTGTCACAAGAAAGCCAAAGATTCATTAATTCATATTTTATTCTTTCTTTTTTTCTTTTTTCAATTAATAATTCATTTTTTATGTCAATATTGAATCAGTTTGATTTTGAAGTCATTAATAGATTGTTTTTGTCTCTATTTGTAAGCAAAAAGAAATAATTGATATTTTGTGGTCATGTTTATTTGTAAATTATATTCGAGAGGCATATTGAAAGTAGGATCGGGTATCGAGTATACATTTTAGCGCAGGTCTACTGACGATTTCCAACTCTCAAAAGTCTCGCAAAGATACTTCTGATATAAATATCGAAAAAACCTCTTCTCCGATCAGTCCTTTGCAGCATGCCTCTGAAGTTTATAAAGGAATGCATTAAATATCCCTAAGAAAAATTATATTTAACTTCTTTAGACATCCAGTATTCTATTCTATTACATATCTTTGCGAGGATGGTGTTTAAAATGTTTCGAGACACATTTGATTATACAATCCAATCCAATCGAGGTATTTTTTAAAGCGACAATATTTACTTGACTAATCAACAATGCACAATAATCGCCAATATATTTTTTAATGGCGAACATCAAAAAGGATAATTGTTTAACGAACCGACCCCCCCCCCCATCCTTCTGAGTTTAAGTGTTTTCCGGTATCTTCTTTACGGTTAATCTGAAATGGTTATTGGACTTCCACGGATATTGGAAGTAGCTGTCTAAATGGTCCTTGGTTATACAATACAACCACTATTATTGTCTTTAGATGCATTCAGACAAGAGGCAGTCAACCGCTTCAAAGAACTGCCACAGCAAAAAATGAAAATGAATAAATGAAATAATGCACAAATAGTCACTGCTTTGGGGGCATGGGTAAAATCTTTGCCCGGAGTTTAGCTTGTATAGTATACAGTGTCCATATTAAGCCCTGACACAGAATTTGAGTAAAGTAAACCGCATCCCCTATTTTAAATGGTATCTATTTAATGCAAGAATATTGATGATCAAAGAATTTCTTGTGTGTTTGTTTTATAGCACATATCCTGTTCCAGGCAATCCTTATGTTTTAGAACAATAATTGCCCTAGCGATATTTCCGCTATTAAGCGTTATTGGTGACGTATAGTGGTCAATTGCGAATATTAGCCCGCAGTTTTGACAAATTAGATGTACAGTTTCCAGATTGGCGGTTTATGACATGATATATCAATTTAATACTTGTTCATAGTATAACACAGAGATAATAGAGGAAGGTTATAGTATAGGAGGATTATTAGACACAGCTACGTGTCATTTTCACCCTGCATTGTAGGCTGAACCCCCCCTACTCTCCTAACAAAAACAAACCATATTAATGAATTTAAGCGATGCACATATAGAATTGTGTATGTGTGTATTATCAATCAGATGTGATCTTTTACGTAAGGGGACCGACCTTTAACGTCACCGTCCGAATAACTTGACTCAGTTTCGAACCGGGATCGCGCCTGAGCCAGTTTGTAGGCGAAGACATATAGCTGAACAAGTGAAAGTGCTGCTAGACCAGCTCACATCGCCCTTGAATTCAAAACCTTAATGCAAGAAGTCAAAGTCCCCCCCCCCCCCCCCCCACCCCCCATTCAGCTTCCCCACCCCAGCCCCAATATTCTGCTAGAATCGCGCCCGCTCTTGCCATTCTTGCCCGGTAGCGGGTTTTTGAGGCAGTTTGTCGCCTCTTGTCTGAACGTCGCTTAGATTTACTTGTGTAATTGACATTCGCCTCGATGGCCTTAACTACATCAACTGTAGACGTAAAATCGTTGACGTTGAACAATCTGCGTGCTTCAGACGAGTAGGAGACTGCCCCGACACGCGTTCCACCAGGCGAGGTATTCACTTGAAGCTGCAACAAAATATATGTATATTCAGATACACAATCAGATTATTTTATCAACCCATATCTTAAAAACATTAACATTTAAAAACTTTAAAAAAACGGCCTCAATTGGCATGAACTAACCTGTCGATATCTTCAAAGCTCTGTTTAAACCCACTTGTCTTCAGAAGCCTTGGAATCAGGCGCGTACACAGGGGGGGGGGGGCGTTTTGGGGTTAAACCCCCCCCCCCCCCTTTGGTAATTTTGTGTGTGTAAACCCCCCCTAAATTTCTCTAAAAAACCCCCCCCCCCCCCCCCCCCCCCCTTTGGATTTTTTTTTTTTTTTTTTTTTTTTTATTAAAAAAAAAAATATATAATAATAATAATTCCCATGGTTGACCTAAAAAATCTGACCTTACCCCCCCCCCCCCCAACAGAGCAAAATGTCAAATTTTCAAATTTCGAGACCAAAAAAAAAAAAAAAAAGTGTCCTCGTACCCCCCACTGAGCGACTTTTTGGCCGGCGCGATTTTCAAATTTTCCTGAGTCGTTGCGAAATTTTGGACTCGATTTTAAACCCCCCCCCCCCCCTTGAAAAAATCCTGCGTACGCCACTGCTTGGAATAGTTGAATGGTTTTAATGTTTGTGTGTCTATATAAACGTAGGTTTCTAAAGGGCCGTTCAGATATGACACTGCAAAATCGTTGCGTTTTTTTATAATTTTAGAGATGACGTAAAGTGTATTACGCTTCATGTCCGTTTTCTTATAACACATACAGAGCTAAGTGAATACGTGCACGAACTTTGTTGCACGCAGTCATCGTTTATTTAAACTTTAAACAATTATGTGGCGGAATACATCGCCATATAATTATGATCGAATCCTAGGCATATGCATATAGTAATAGTAAAAATGAACGGGTAATTAGGTTTAAGTGCTATAAATCCAGAATAATTACTTTTGAAAAAAGGAATATTGGGAATTTTGCCCCTACTATGCCTTCGTTTACTCGGAACAATAAAAATTCACCAATTGATTTAGAATACATAACACTGGCATAGAAATATGTAAAATTAGCAAATAACATTTTTTCCCTTCAGCAGGCGCGGATCCACGGGGGGGGGGGGAAGGGTGCCGACGACTTTTTTTTTATCAAAGGAAAAAAAAAGGGGAAAAAAAGAAAAATGTTTTTCTGACGGTAATTTGTTGTAGTTAGTGCTCACACTACCCCCCCCCCCCACTGAGCGAAATATTGGTCGTTGCGATTTCCAAACTTCAGCCCCCCCCCCCCCTATTGGCAAATCCTGGATCCGCCACTGCCCCTTAATAGTGTGTGACTTGTTTATCCTCGATAATTTTTAACTAAATTCTATAGGTAATATCTATATTCTAATAGTTATTATTAGAAAGACATCATCAATAAAGATTTGTAAAACTCTATCAACTCTTTTCCTCTTGAACATGGACATTTACTTTCTTATTTCTGCTTTATACTTCTCTTACCTTTCCCACTAGTTGCTTGGCAAATGTCTTGCCTATCTCGAAGTTTTCAAGTCCAACACTATTCGACGCATCAAACGCAAAGTAGATATCCATACCATCAGAGAGTTTAATTGTACGTTTCCTTCGCAAACCTGAGTTCGAGCTGGTGTCATTTCGACCCACCCAAGAGCCGCCGTCGATGACGATTTCGTCGAAGGTCTTCCCTAGCCCATTCATCACTCGAGAAAGTTCGTCGAACTCATCACGACCTTAAATTTGAACAGAGGAGATTTCTGCTACAAGATCATCCGAATATGGGTAATAATGATTGTACATCATCTAAGAACCCACCCAGTGCGCCCCTAAGATCAGCAGAAATTTCAAGTTGAAGTATGATGTGTCAAATGACAGACAGAGAAATTTGAAATTAGAAACCTACATTTTCCTTCCGAGAGATTGTACAGAGTATAGTCGTGAGATTTTAACAGTGAATTTAATGTCATAATAAAATGGAAACACTTTTAGTCGGTAATATGAATCATAATAATACAAATTTCATTTTCCCAATTTTTTGTTTCTTTTTCTTACGGGGGGGGGGGGTGTGGGGGATGTGTAAAATAGTGTACCAGGGGGGTGTTTCATAAAGCTGTTCGTAAAGTTACGCATGACTTTACGAACGACTTGTATATGAAAAGCTAAATGTGATGCTCAATCATTCTTGATTATTATTCATTAAGTTGAACTGTGCAGATGTAGATTAACATTCTTATTATAACAAACATTTTTAATGCAAAGTATATTTTTGCCATAATTTAATTGAGGTTATTGGAAATATCAGAAAAAACTTTGGGCATCCTATCTGGCACTTCATATACAAGTCGTTCGTAAAGTCATGCGTAACTTTACTAACTCTTTATGAAACACCCCCCCCCCCTGGTATGTTAATAATATTTATTTTACGATGCGTGAACACTTGCGCATTTCGACATAATCTACGTGGGTACACCTACCTTCACGGGAAAAAAAGTAAAATGTTAATCTTACCCATGCATCTTGGCATCTCCCCAGTCCACTCTTCAGAAAACGTACACATCCTCTCTTCGGAACCCACCATCTCATAACCATGGTTGCATCGAAAATTGACCTTGGTGTTTACTCTGTACTGCGGAGAGCCGACTTTAGAGCCGTGTATGGGGTTCCCCAAGGCTGGACAGTCGTACTCTATGGTGAAAATAACAACATGAAAGTGGTGTACCGGAAAACGGCGTGGTTCACAATACAGGTACACCACATGTAACTCCGCGACTATGTACAAACACACGCACACACACGCGCACGCACACACACCAACGCACACGCGCGCACACATACACACACGCACTCACCCACGCGCACACACACACACACCAACGCACACGCGCGCACACATACACACACGCACGCACACACGCGCACACACACGTCCCCTTCAAAACATACGGGACAATAGAAGAATATGTTGTACAAGGAATCAGTTATTTTATAAACCTAACAAATATCGTCTCTGATAGAGAATGCCGCGTCATTTATACATGTATATTTACAGCCATGTTGACGGATGCGCCGGTGTGCTAGTGGATGTGTGCGAGTATGCGTGTATGTGTGTGCGTGTGCGTGTGCGTGTGTGCGCATTCAAACGTTTACTAATGACAATTAGTCGATGAGAACTTTTTTCGTCTTGGCCCGTCCTGTGACTTCACTGTCCTGAAGATGCGACTTATAACCACGCCGTGTTGTTTTATGAGAACACCTAAGATCTATTACCACTTAATCAGCCCAAACCTAGAAATGAGAATAATGTTTAGCCCAGCTAACATGTAAACGAAATAGTTTTCACTTCATTCACATTTTTTACACCACAAATTAGATATTTCTACCTTTTGCACGATTGTGTAACATTGCCGCTGACTTCTTGTCGCTCGCCAGCACACTTACCAATGGTTCAATTATTTTCTAAGACCCCTCGTTGCCCCCTAAACTGGAATATTTGATCCCATATAAAGCAATGAATTGATTTGAGAGGTTCTCCACAAGTCTCTTTGAATGAATGTAGATGTCTATGGCGTGCATAAAATGAGAAAATTGTGTAAATTTTACGAGGAGTGGATTTTAAAAAAAAGCTAGATCCTCAACAACAACACATCAGCAAACCGTCCGTGTTTTTTACACCCACAACAACATCGGTATAATAACCTTCATTGTGGCATGACGTCAGAGTACCATTCCAGTGACCATCGGGTTGACACACCCTCTCACTTGACCCAAGCAGCTCTAGATGTGACCGACACCTGAGGGTCATCACCGCTCCTACGGGCCAAGAATTCGTGGCGCCTTGTCCGTTTCTCGGCGAGAAAGAAATCTCGCCGTTGTCAAGGTGACGGGAACCCGGATGGGGACACCTTGCGACTAAAGATACGAAAAAAGCATCGGACGTTTTATATTTTATTATTACAGCTGATACTCGATTATTTCTTCTTTTGTAGATCGAATAGTTTAATATAGCATAGTGACAACAGGGATATTCTATTTCGACCATGGATGAATTTACACAATGGATACACAAACCTAAGCATTTGTTAAAACCTGGACCCGTTGTCAAAATCACCAACCCATCTGCATTAAGATAAGCTGTTCTACCAGACATTCGTGTGGTGCAGTCTTCAGTTGGGTCCCACATGCTACAACGCAGAGGCTTTTTACTCGGACGCTGCTCAATCATGTATATTTAAAACAATTTAGATAATATTCACTTCATGTTCAGTACACGAAAGCAATGAAAAACGAAAACAAAGGACTACTCGGTACTGAACAAAAGTTTTTACAAAAAGGAATATGGAGAATTTTCGAATAGGCAGAAAAAGGCAAAAAGAACACAGCCTTATTTATGAATACATGTAAATGACTTATATCCTTCTCGGACTTAATTCTTTTCATCAATGAGAGTTCCACAAACCTTTGCAGCTTGGTACGTTATCGGACCATATTCCATTGGGTCCACCGTGACTCTGACATACTTGCCAGCTTATTCCATCGACGAGATACCCTTCGTTACATTCATATTGCACCATCTGTGGACGAAGATGGAGAATACCCATTGAAATATGAACTTCTTGAAGTAAAAAACATCGAAGCAAATGAAATCAAAAATAGGGGTACTAATGCGCGTATGTAAGGAAGAAAACATTTGCGAGTGATGTTGCACATCTGATTTACCAATCAATAAACTGCAATAAAACAACCGACTCATTAATCAATTAACTTATCAAGAAATTACTTAACTGATTAACAAATCTATGGACTCATTAACCACTAACTTGATTAGCTACTCGATAATCTAAGTTTAACCAGTCAGTCAACTTATTAGCAAATTAGTCAAACAATCAATTAGTAAATAACTATCTAAACAGATCAATGGCGAGCAGATTGTCGAAAAAACTACTGTCTTAATCAATCAGTGAATTCTTAAGATATTATCTCTTCTGATGTAATACATTATGATTACGTTATTGAAAAATAATATTAAATAATGAATCATTAATCAGCAATAATAAATTGACAGTCAGAGTGTAATTGCAATCAGTAAACTAAATAGCAAGTCCGTGAAATTATAATGATAATACTAGTGATATTATAAATACTAGTAATGATAACAATGATAACTCAGGGAAGCCTCATGAGTATTAATACTGTTATCCCTGGGGCCCTAAAATCATACTATTCCCTCTGTTGTTACTACTATTAATTCTATTATTTACTTTGTTTAGTATCATCATCATCATTATGCGTCAACATGTTAGATAATAAATGATTGTGGGAGTAACGAATCCACTATCCATTAGCTAATGATCTTGGATTTTTATTGATAAGTTTTTGTTTTTGTTTTTGTTACCCAAATAATGAAAAACAACTTTAGGACTTACTTCTCCAACATTGTATGTCCTGTTCTCAATGTTGTGTGTACCATTCTCTATGGGTTCCAGGGTGGGTGGGGCACAGATGATCTCTGCATTGTAAGAATAAAGATGTACCAACATGCAGCTCATCGAATGACCGTGCAATTACAGGATTATACACGCACCGTTTCCATGGGAGAGGTTGCGACCCCTCCCAATTTTCCCCAAATGGACTAACGTATAAAGATAGAGCCTTCATCTTTGAGGTAATTTTAAGAACCTAAAGGTCTAAAGGTCCTAATCCACACCCAGTTATTTATTTATTTATTCAGTTTTATTTAAAAACATGGTAATTTTTTTCAGCGCCAAAGGCCTGCTTTACAAAAGAGCCATGTACATACAAAGATTTACAAAAAAATAGAATAGAAAACAAAGACATTATATAAACAACATACCATAAGAGATTGAGAAATTTATATCAAATGAAGAAAAAACAAATTAAAAACTAAAACAAATTAAAAACTAGATCAAAATGAACATAACGCCTAAAATATTAAACATTTAAGATATTATTGTAGTAAGTAATGAAAAACTATTTACATTATATGTGAACTTATTTAATGATTTACACTGTTACACTTGTATGTTTTACGGTTTTGCGTGATGAATTGCGTTTTGACATTACTATTTGTAAAAATAAGATTAAACATTTAAAAGCTCTCCTAAAATGCTTTAAACAACTTTCAAAATAATTCATCGGAGGTGCGATAGGAGATTAACGATCGCCACTGACTTTAAAGGTGAGGGGGGGGGGGGTTCAAACGCCATACAATTTGTAAAAATTGACAAGATGAAAGCAACATAATCGAATGAATCCTCAATAAAGTTAAAATTTACCAAGGGAGCCAAAACAAAAGTCCAATTAAACGATTCCAATCTCATTTCAATTTTTCAAAGGGTAGGGATGCAGAAGTGCATCTGTATATGAATTCCCCAAAGTTTCCGACGCTCCTTCATCTGTCCATCTTCTCCTGTATTCTGCAAAATACAAAGCCTCCCCCCTACAAAAAAATACCCCCAAAATAAAAATGATCTATTGTGTTTAACTTATAACATTATTATGTACAAGAAAATGAACCTTGAACCTTACTGTTGCATTCCGGAACATCCGCATCCGCTTCCCATGAGCCATTCTGACACGTGATTGTGACGTCCCCGGTTGGGTGGTATCCTGTTTGGCAGGTATAGTTGAACACTGTGCGTTCGGTGTAGAGATCATCGTGTTTGATTCCAGAGTTTTCATCAAGAACCAAGGCTAGCATCCCGGATGGTTCGTTTGGGTCAGGGCATGATGGAGGTCCTGGAAATGTCAAGGACAAAATTTGGACGATATTTATAACTGAAAATGATGAGCGAAATAGCGATGGGACAAAATAGCAAGATGCTTTAACTCTTCTTACCAACTGCCCAATATTTTAAATGTTTAATACAGTATTGAGTACAGCAAATATTGCAGAATTTCAGGAAGCAAATCCCCAAAAGGAGAGCTCAATATTTATTGGAAACGCCATGAAGAATTTAAGTGAGGCTTCCATTAAAAAAACTTTGTTATATGAATATGTCTTGTATAAGTCAAAGTAACGAATTAAAGAGATTAGAAGAAGACTCAAGCACGAGAAAAATGTAAAGGAGAAAATTTGACATGCACTGAGACCAATTATGCTAACGGATATTACAGCTCATTTTGTTACATGCTTATTCTCTAGAGATTATGAGTTAGGACAGCGCATGGTAGTAACAGAAGAATTAATAGATTTGAGTCATCCTCAAATATGCAAATTTAAGCAATTTCTAATCCGAGATAATATTGACTATCGAAAAACAGATAACATTTAAACTTTTTAGTTACGTCTATTAGTAACTTACTGAAACATCGAGGTACATCTCCCTGCCAACTACCCGTAGCCTCATTGCAGACCACCGTTCTTTGTCCATGGAGCTCGAAACCAGGGTTACAGCGATACACAGCAATGCTTCTTGCAGATTTACCACGCATGCGCACATACCCGTTGGCAGGGCTCTCAGGAAGACGAAAACATACTAGCGGAGCTGGAAGACAAAAAGACGATAGTATTAGCAAAACATTTGTTAAGAAAAGATTACAAAATATAATATGAAGAGATAGAAAGTGAATCAAATTATGAAAGTGCAATTCATTGGTATTAACATGTGAGCATGCAAATCTTGCGATAATTGTAATATTTACTTCTTGTGTAGCGCATATGATATCATTATAATGTTTCTACCCGCTTCTAGAGGACCTTGGATATTATTACCACGGCTCGAGCTCCGGCAATAGTACAGCGCTCATTGCAATCATGGGATTAATCCTATATGCACTCACTAACTACACACGGGTCGAGTTAATTCGAGTGTGGTAAACGTAGATTCATGTATTGCCAAGTTAATGGCGCGGCAAGAAATCAAGCCTCGAACCTTGTGATCTGCAGTCCGGTGACTCATCCATTATACCACAACACCTTTATTTCATGTGCTTCATGTGTTTCAGTTTTGAAAAAATGTAATACATCATTTACGGTCTGTCTGTAATGGATTGGCATAAGATGTTTACCACCAGAACAGTGTCTTAATTGCAACTAACTGACTTAACAATGGACAAACGCTGTCGTGAAGTCACTTATTAAAAAAAAAACACTTAGTCAAGCTTTTGAAAAAGAAAAAAAAGGTAGAACCACCTTTCACTTACCATGGCAATATGGGTAATCGCTCCATTGTCCATTGTCCTGGCAGATAATGAATTCATCTCCTACAAGCGTTGCGTCAGGCTCACACACTGCGCGCACGATGTAATTCACAGGGAGATGCGTCAATCCATAGTCTGCACTGTTCTGATATTCGTAACGTCCTTTCCGCAAACTCCTTGGTCGACGACAGCTAGTACCCTCTGAAAAATGTGAAATAATTGGAAAAGAAACATGCTTGAAAACACATATTTTACGTTAGGTGGGTCCAGGGGACCGAGGCCCATGGAAAAATAGTGAAAAACAGTATTCTCAAATGCGTATTGAACACGAGGAGTCATTTGCCTGACGCAAAACTGCGTCAATCCATAGTCTGTTTTGTTCTGATATGCCATTTCCGTAAACACCATGGTCGAAAACAACTAGTATCCTTAGAAAGAGTTTTGCATAATTGGAATTATCATATTAAAAAAAAAAAGAGAAGAAAATCCCCTCTTCGTTATAATTTTTGTTTAATCCGGACGATAACTACAAATAAATTGTACTTTTTGTTACCTGCACAGGAACAGATGAATCCTATAATGGCGGCAACGATGATCGCCGAAAACTTCATTTCAACACTTCGTGGATCGCCTTCTCAGACAAACTGAAGTGATTCTAGCCGAGCAAGCTGCAGAGATACATGAGAACAACCAATGAAACTCAGAAATGCATGTATGTGATAGTTACTAACCCTGCGTTCCACCACAGAACCATCAAGTGGTCACGAGCTTGGGCAACGAGCTCTTTTCGGTTATTAATTTCTATATCTCTTCGTAATTCTGACAAGGTTCCTATTGATATCATATATTTAATGAAGAGTTTGAACGCAGCATATGTTTGTGGAAAATGTTCACATTTTCAAAATTTGAAAATTATAACTCTACTATCTTTGGAAATGCAAGCATAACTTTAAACAAAGAGATCTTTTTCTGATTGAGGTGTCTTATGGAAGGGCAGAAACTGAACTTTCTAGAAATGTGATTTTTGTCTTTGAAATTCAGATACATTCCGCCAAATGACTTTTTAGTTCCCTCTCTTTAAATTGATTTTAATCACTCAGGCGTGCAATATGCATCGTATGAGTTGCATCAAATGAAAGAGGAGGATCTAAGCTTAACATATATGTGTCATTTATTAATTATAATTGTGATTAAGCTATGATAAAACATCGATAATTCTTGGTTACGTTTTTTCTTGGACGCACTGTATACCAAATCCTGTTAAAAGAAAGGGACGATAATTTGAATATATTATGTAATAGATGGCATGCAGATGGTATATTATTTGATAATAAATATATGCAATATTATTTCAGGGTGATGTTTCGCTGTACAATGCATACAACGGTTCGGTACTTTCAGTACAGACTTTTAAATAGGATAATTTATTTGAATAAGGATCTTGTGAAAATTAAAATAATTCTAAATAGAAACTGTTCCCTTCGTGGAAGATAAGAAGAAGATATGGTGCACTCTTTTACTTCTGTTACGTGACCAAATTGATTTGGAGTCGTTTGACTGACTGGTTAAACATCGTAACACACTGTAGAATAAAATAAATACATGTTTTATTTGGTTTCCTTGAGAAACGTAACGATGCTTTAAACCGTATAATAATTTTGATTAAACAACAATTACATTTTTCTCGAATCCAAACATTCATACCGTCCTTCCAGACAATAAAGCAATATATCAGGAATAGTAACATAAATGAGAGGCAGGTTAGTATACTTGCTAACAAAACTGACGAATTTGATTTTTTTTAAATGGATACATTTTGAAAGAAAGATATTATTTAAAGAGGACTCTGTCGAGGGTGTTTTGAGCCATGTAAGGAGAGAGTTTCGGAGGGGGTCTCCTCCAGGGTTGGCGGAGCGTCTTTCAAAGTGGAGGGGGCATCATCAAAAAGGGCACTTTCTGGAGAGAGAGAAAAATACACCTTGGAAGGGAAGCCTCGACGCGAAAATTACACTTTTGAGACATTGGTGATCACATTATCACGGATGATGATTCAATAGTTTGGTGTGATGGTTTGAATATATATAAGATTTTTGATGTCGCAGTGCGGAAAATTAAATCTTATAAAGACGAAAAGTCAAATGGTTAAGAGCATGATTATATCAATTATAAATGCGAGCGAGCATAGCATAACAAGAAAAAGTTGCTCTTAGTCGCTTTAAATTAGGGGCACATATTGATAGAGGAAAAAGGGGCACTTATCAAAAGAGAAAGGGACGCTCAAAAAAGAAAGGAGCAAGAGTCAAAGTAAAGACGGCAATAATCAGAGGTGGTGAAGGAGCGCCTGCTCAAGTGCCCCCCCCCCCGCCCCTCCCAGGGTAGGGAAAATGTTGACCTATTTCTGTCTGAAAATCAAGTTTTAGATACAATTTGAACACAGAATTGGTTTCAGTAGTAAATACCATTAAAACTAAGAATCAAATAGAAGTTTCAACATTCTGAATGTCAGACGGGTACATGTGCATGTGTATGCTACTTTCATACATGTATCATAAATAGACCGTTTAAAGCTCCTCTAAAGCTGGGAGACCCAAATTCTCCAAAAATTTGATTGTAAAATTTCACTTAAATTGTATCATAATGTGAAAGGGAATGGCATATAAGACAGGATTCTGCAAAGATTTCCTCTTTCCCCCACCAAAAAAAAATAATATTGATAACAGAATACGTACTTTGGGTTTTCTGTTGTACGCAGAAAACTAACATTTTGTATGCTTTTCTCAATATTCTACTTCAAACACATTGCAGAAATGTGTCTTAAATGACATCCTCTTTCACATTGTGATGCAATTTAAGTGAAATTCTGCTATCAATTTTTTGGGGCGCCCATGACTTTAGAGAAGCTTGAATTTAATTCTGGAATGTTAAAACAAAAAATTCGATATAACACTATGAAGCGCTTTTATCAGCTAGTTTTAACTGGAGGAGCGCTATTAATATACAGTTTTTTTTTTGTACTAGTGTTATTCGGTTCAAGCGACAAAAACAAATGCATAATAACTGTCCAAGAAAAAAAAAACACCCCAAACAAACAAATACCAAAATAATAAAAGTATGAAGAAAAAAGGCACCAACAATCAAACTAGAAGAGAAATAATTTCTTACTCCAGGAAGCGAATGGTAGACCAGACAGCGGAACAAAAACACGTCTTGCTTCAGCAGCCCGTGAGGTGAAAGTGAACAATAAATCGCTAAATCTATTCTTTAGGCCGTCGCGGCAGTGGTGCAGCCTGGGTTTAGTCATTAAAGGGGGCACCAATCGTGTGTATGAAATGCAAGAAAACATGCAAAAGAAAGGTTTGGGAGTGGGAGTTATTTTCGCTCTCTCTGCCTATCTTTTTTTTTGGGGGGGGGGGTGGGGGGGACATTGGTCTAACTGCGTGTGTAAAATACAAGAGAACGTGGCATTAGAGTAAATGTGGGGTCTGGGAGTGGATCATATCTTTACAAGTTTCACATACTTTTCTTTAATTCTTTCTCTCTTTTTTTGTGTGGGTACGTGCCCCTACCCACTTGTAGCTTGAGGTGCAGCGAGGTATTCTCATCAAATGTGAAAGAACAACATTTTCTCCTTTTCGTATTTTTTCCCTTTACTTGGAACAATTCCAAGAAGTAGAGATTGGTTCTTTTTTTTTTTTTTAACCTTGGTAGAGAGTGGGCGATTCATGTCGTAACTATAACGGGGGTATATAGAAACATCTCCCTACTCAACTATAGTGAAATCTTCAGTTTTAAAGGTAAAGGTGAGTTCTGGTAAAAAAGGAGAAAATAAATTCTCACAGAATCAAACGAAACTTACACTGAATGTTTAAGATTACAAATAAATGTCAATTGCCAAACAATTTTTGTAGAAAATGTATACTGGCTGAGTAATAGCATTGAAAGATTGGGAAATCAAGGTTAGTAGCCCCGACACCATTTGTGTAGTCCCATGTACATCTTTCTGTGTACAGTATTTATTACTTTACCAAGACTGGGCCAAATATATTATGATTTTGTTGACTCTATAACTTTGCAGTACACACCAATACTAACATGCTACATGATCAAAAAGTTCCGTTCCTTTCCACACCTTTTCTTTTACAATGCAATGGGGGGGGGGGGGGCGGGGGGGGGGCTTTTGCCATTCATATATGAGGCACGTGCCCAATGATGTGGGGGGGGGACATTGGTCTAAGTATGTGTGTAAAATACAAGAGAACGTGACATTAGAGTAAATGTGGGGTCTGGGAGTGGATCATATCTTTACAAGTTTCACATACTTTTCTTTAATTCTTTCTCTCTTTTTTTGGTGGGTACGTGCCCCTACCCACTTGTAGCTTGAGGTGCAGCGAGGTTATCTCAACAAATGTGAAATAACAACATTTCCTCCTTTTCGTATTTTTCTCCTTTACTTGGAACAATTCCAAGAAGTAGAGATTGGTTCTTTGTTTTTTTAAACCTTGGTAGAGAGTGGGCGATTCATGTCGTAACTATAACGGGGGGTATATAGAAACATCTCCCTACTCAACTATAGTGAAATCTTTAGTTTTAAAGATAAAGGTGAGTTCTGGTAAAAAAAGGAGAAAATGAATTCTCACAGAATTAAACGAAACTTACACTGAATGTTTAAGATTATAAATAAATGTCATTTGCCGAACAATTTTTGTAGAAAATGTATACTGGCTGAGTAATAGCATTGAAAGATTAGGAAATCAAGGTAAGTAGCCCCAACACCATTTGTGTAGTCCCATATACATCTTTCTGTGTACAGTATTTGTTACTTTACCAAGACTGGGCCAAATTTATTATGATTTTGTTGACTCTATAACTTTGCAGTACACACCAATACTTACATGCTACATGATCAAAAAGTTCCGTTCCTTTCCACACCTTTTCTTTTACAATGCAATTGGGGGGGGGGGGCTTTGCCATTCATATATGAGGCACGTGCCCAATGATGTGGGGGGACATTGGTCTAACTATGTGTGTAAAATACAAGAGAACGTGACATAAGAGTTAATTTGGGGTCTGGGAGTGGATCATATAATTTCTTTACAAGTTTCACATACTTTTCTTTAATTCTTTCTCTCTTTTTGTGTGGGTACGTGCCCCTACCCTCCTGTAGCTTGAGGTGCAGCGAGGTATTCTCAACAAATGTGAAAGAACAACATTTTCTCCTTTTCGTATTTTTCTCCTTTACTTGGAACAATTCCAAGAAGTAGAGATTGGTTCTTTGTTTTTTTAAACTTTGGTAGAGAGTGGGCGATTCATGTCGTAACTATAGTGGGGGTATATAGAAACATCTTCCTACTCAACTATAGTGAAATCTTCAGTTTTAAAGATAAAGGTGAGTTCTGGTCAAAAAGGAGAAAATGAATTCTCACAGAATCAAACGAAACTTACACTGAATTTTTAAGATTACAAATAAATGTAATTTGCCGAACAATTTTTGTAGAAAATGTATACTGGCTGAGTAATAGCATTGAAAGATTAGGAAATCAAGGTTAGTAGCCCCGACACCATTTGTGTAGTCCCATAAACATCTTTCTGTCTACAGTATTTATTACTTTACCAAGACTGGGCCAAATTTATTATGATTTGATGACTCCATAACTTTGCAGTACAAACCAATACAATGTGTAGAACAGGTGATCTGCATGTGACACCTGTTCTACACATTTTTACATAATACCAGTGAAGGGATGTTCCTTTGTCTACCTGAGGAACTGTACATTTTGTCCTCTTTCTTTGTCCGTCATATTCATTGTGTCTGTTCCTTTCCACACCTTCTCTATCACAATGTAATCGAATGACCAGAACTCATCTCCAATAGCCGCACCTAATAATGGTCTTGAAAAATTGTTGATTAATGGACTTTTAACCGAAGATCAATAAACGTTTATTTTTAGTTCATGATTTTATGGAAATCGGATGAGATCAGAAACAAAGTCCAGTCGACCAACCTTTTTGCAATTGTTTGCAATGCCGATGTGTCATGACCCTTCACCAAATGAGGACGGGGTGAATCATTACACTCTTTTAGCAGCCACATTGCTGTTCAGGTGATCTCCGATATCTTCAAACGATTTCAGGTGAAAAGTAGGGATTTTTCACTTTCAAAGAGCCGGATGTTTGTTGCAGGATTTTGAACTCGGAGGAATCACACAGGCGCTCAGGTTATCATTCATTGCAACCAATTAACTCCATTTTAAACTTATTACTTCTTAGTTCAAAACAAAGCCCGTCTAAGGATATTTCATTTCAACCACAATTACACTGGAAAGTGATTTCTATTTTTTTTCTCAACATTTTCCTCAGTGGGTGTTAGTTACACGGATTTCCGCGTGAAAATTCCAGATGTTTCCGCTATTAATTCAGGAAAAAATAAGCCACTTGAAATGTCTTAATTGTACACTCGTTTAATTGTTACATACTTAGAGCGATCCAGAGAACACTGTAATGAAAAACTTAACTCAGACAGTATTCAGTACCGTGGTATATTATGGTGAGGGCACTTGACTATTATACGAGAGGTCCTACAGTTCAATACTAGTCTTGTTCAGACAGAGAAAAGTTACCCTAGGGTAAAGGTCGCGTTAAAGTAAAGACCAGTTTTGGAAACGCCCCCCTCTCAAAATATGATAATGGAATCTCAATCATGTGAAAGAATATGTTTTGACTAATATGTGATGATACACATTTTGCCGGGAAACCGCCTATACTAATTGCTATATTTGGTAAATTATTATATCTATCTGGACCGGATAGATATCGCGCACGTGTCGCGTAGTCCCATATACATCTTTTTGTGTATAGTGCTTGTAACTTTACCAAGACTGGGCCAAATTTCTTATCATTTTGATGATTCCAGAACCTTGCAGTACACATCAATATTTATAAGCTAGATGATCAACCTTTTCTGACCGATTCCACAACGTTTCTTTCACAATGCAATCGTATGACCAGGAGTTGTCTTTATCTTAAAGAGATGGTTCCCGCCCACCCCCCCCCCCTCACCCCGGAAACGGAGGGACCGCATGTGTGTTCTCAAAATCTCCGGTTCGTAAAGGTTTACCCGTATTGACTTTAAACACCGGACTTATGCAGAAGGGGGGTGCTGAAAGGCTCGTATAACAAAAGAAAAAGGTCTCCTCGTATATTGACTTTACACACCGGACTTATGCTGAAAAGGGCGGGGTGGGGTGCTGGGAACACGCATATGCGTACCCTAATTAAAGGGAAAGTCCACCCCCAAAATAAGTTTGTTTCGATAGAGGCAGAATAATATGAAAATCAGGTGAGTGAAAGTTTGAGCAAATTCTGAATGAAAATAAGAAAGTTATGAATTATTGAAGTTGTGATCAATCAAATACAAATTGGCAACTCTGTGACTTATTATACGAGCTCTCCTTCATTTGCTTTGTGCATAATATTCCATAAAATCATGTTTTCTTCGTTATTGATGACGGAATATATATTTGTTCCTTGCAGGGGGAGTATAGAAACATATTTGCAATTATTATATTTAGGGTGCATGTATGGTTGAAATTTTTCTTGAGGGAAAATGAAAATTTTAGATTTTTTTAGTACTGAGCAAATGGAAGTTGCTCGCATGATACGTCATAGAGTTGCCAATTTGTGTTTGATTGATCACAACTTAAAAAATCCTAACTTCCTTATTTTTAATCGGAATTTGCTCAAATTTTCACTGACTTGTTTCTCTCATTTTTCTACTCCTATTAAAACTAACTTAATTTCAGGGTGGACTTCCCCTTTAACACTGAGTTGGGGGGGGGGGGGGGGGGGCGAGAGGTGGTCAAGGTAAATATGGCGGGCCAGGCATGCCACTATCATACAACTTTACATAACACAACTATACCAGTGGCGGATTCGAGGGGGGGCACGTGCCCCCCCCCCCCCGGTAAAAAGGGGGAAGGGGAAGGGAAAAAAGAAAAAGGGAGAAAAGGAGAAAAAGGAGGGGGATAGAAAAAAGGAGGGGAAAAAGAAAGAAAAGGGAAGAGAGAAAAAAGAAGAAAAGAGGGAGGAGAGAAAAGGGAAGAGGTGAAAAGGGAGGGGTAAAGGAAGAAAGGGGAAGAGGGAGAGAGGGGAGACAAGCGGAATAGGAAGAAAGGGGAAGAGACGGAGAACAGAAAAGGGGGAAGAGGAGAATAATGAGAAGGGGGAAAAAGAAAGGGGAATGA